TTTTCTTTTATCTCCTCTTCATTGGTAGCACATGCTTCCCTCTGTGTTAAAAGAGATCTTAAAGCAGCAACTTCCTCTTCCTTCTTCTTCAGCAGCTTTTGTGCCTCGTTCCTTTCTTTTTCTTGTTGCTTCTTCTCGGACTGGAGTTTGAGAATAAACTCATCCATGGCAGCTATTCTTGATCCCAAAATAACAGCAGAGGCAGACTCATCACCCCCATACTTATCTTTGTTTGGAGTATGTGACCCACGAACTATACACTTTGCTTTTGCCCCATACTCAAGAGTGCAGAGTGTCTTGTGCATTTCCTTTGGATCCGGGCTCGCACACAGGATCATTAGAATCTTTGACTTGTCATCTTCAAAAGAGTCCTGCATCCAGAGCATAGAAACAACACTAAATATCTCAAGAAAACCAAGCAACCACAGAAAACATCTTCCAGAAGATAAAAACTTTGGAACACGAATTTCACCTGAAGAAGCATGGTCAGCTTGCTGTCTCTAAAGGGTACATGAGAATCTCCATTTGCTATAGATTCCACAACTCGCTTCAGTGCAATATTTCCCTGGTTGATCTTAGCTGTCTGTTGAATAGAGAGAGAGATATATAAGTCAGTTGGTATTCAAAACTACAATTAACTTTGGTAGAATCAAATGCATTGAGAGAGCCTAGAGTTGCAAAACATTACTTGCATCTTAGCTTCAAATCCAGTCTGCCCAGCTTGGTCTATATTTTCAGAACCAGCCATGTCAACAAGCATCAATCTTCCACCAACAGTTGGCACATCAAGTATGATCTACAAAAAGAAACAATCACACTCGTAAGTTGCATAAAGCTATATATACACATCAATGGCAATCACACTTGTAAGTTGCATAAAGCTATATATATAGATATATGCATCAATTAAGATTCAAGAAGATCGTTCTTACAATGCAGTGACTCCGGGAACTTCTTTCATTGCAAAGTGTACTCTTCACTATTCTCCGTTTCTCCACTTTGACAATTTCTTTAGAGATCTTTCCAGCCTCTGTCCCTGAAATAAAGGTCGCGTTTTTCGCCTTTTTGCCCATTACTTCAAGCCTGACCTATAATAAAACAACAAAGTACAAGAAGTTATATACTAAGATAGATCAATCAAGAACCCATTAACGTCCTTAATTAGAAATGCTTTTTTACCTTAGTGCTTCCTCCTTTAGGCCAACCAATCCCTAAATTGTTACTACTGTTAGTCGAAAGAAGATCATAAATCTCCTCATTATAAACCTCCAAAACAGTAACTTGAACAAAAGTAACACCATCTTGATCCGAATCACCCAAAATATCCCGCAAAGACCGATACACAATCCCGGGCTCCTTGCCACAACCAAACATAGTATGACTCTTTCCAGCACCAGTAGGTCCATACATCATAATCGTGCATTTATTCCCAACTTTGACACCTTTAATCCTCTCTTCTATAAACTTCTTGTAAAAATCTTCAAGACCTTCTTGCTCCGAGAAAGAAACACCGTCAAGAGTGAAATCTCTGTACCCAATATCAGCTCTGACTCGTACCGTTTGATTATCTGTGTTAACTTGCAAGATCGAAGAAGATTTCTCTTTTCGATCTGGGTAATCTCGGATCCGGCCGATTACTTCAACTGGATGCTCCGGTGGTGTTGGATCTTTAGATCCTTCAGGGTTTGGGGTTTTTGAGTGGAAATTGAGACGTTGTTTGGTTTGTGGAGTTCTGATTAGGGTGTATTGGGTTTGATTTGATCTTGAAGATGATGGTGTCGGTGCCATTGTTGAAAAAGTTTCAAGCTTTCGAAAGAGTGAAATTGAAATTGGGAAATTTTGAGATTCAGAGAGCGTTAGAGAGAGAGAAATTGAAAAAGGGGATTAGGGTTTTGCGAGTGATTCACGAGGTTTGAAGTTTGAAACAAAGAAACAAACATAACCGTTGTGTTGTGTTATCTCTAAACGGCTAGTTTTTGTCCACGGGCCACTGATAATATAAACTAAATATATTCAATCTTTTTTATTTAATATGGGCCTGACTTTTGTATTACGTAAATGGGCTTTTGTGTTTAAAGAGGCCCAAAGTTTGTAGTATTAGGGTTTTCTCAAAGTCTCTCTTATAAACTCTGTTCCTTAGTTTTTTTTTGTTTGCTGTTGTTTTTGGGAAGTGGAAGACGACGGCGCAAGCTTCTCCGAAGAGCGAAAATGGTGACTCTCTTCTCTTTTCTGAATTGCTCTTAAATTTCTTTAATTTGGTGTTTCGTAGAGTTCTATTTGGTTGCCGATATATATACTTTCGAAGAACGAATTGTTGTTTATAGATCTGTTTGTGTGATTTTTTTTTTTCTTGAAGATGTTTGTTCTTGATTTTGCAATTTGAAGAGTCTAATCTCAAGTTTAGTATCCGTTTTGTTGGAGATTTCAATTCACATAGTCTCTGAGAAGAGTTTAGTTCCTCTTTACCAGATACTCACAAATGGTTTTAGTGTTATGCATTTCTTATCTGTTCTGATTTTTAGGAGAATTTGGGAATTTATATGTTCATTTGAATGATATGTAGTACTGCATGGACTTGTAGGATTCACAATATAGTTAGAAAAATGAGAGAGGAGATTATCAATATTGACTAGTTGAGTAGTTTGATCATATGGTAGCAATCAGTTCTGAATGATCTATTTATGATCGCAATCGATTCTGTATGTTGTTGAAGCCATCATTTCTTGTGATAGTTATAACTCAAAGTTTGGTTTTTGTGAATATTAGGTGAACATTCCTAAAACCAAGAACACTTACTGCAAGAACAAGGAATGCAAGAAGCATACCTTGCACAAGGTTACTCAGTACAAAAAGGGTAAAGACAGTCTCGCTGCCCAAGGAAAGCGTCGTTATGACCGTAAACAATCTGGTTATGGAGGTCAGACCAAGCCCGTCTTCCACAAGAAGGTAACACAAAAGCAACAATGATACTTGGATTTTCCTTATCTTGATCTCTAATTACTGTGTTCTATCTGAGAATCAATGTTGGAGTTGAGATTAGACAGCTTTGTGAAATATGTCTCAGATCGATAATCATGTGTACTCATTATTTGTATTTCTTTGGAACAGGCTAAGACAACCAAGAAGATTGTCCTGAGGCTTCAGTGCCAAAGCTGCAAACATTTCTCTCAACGCCCGATTAAAGTAATGTGTTAGACATTCTTTATCTTTGTTAAACACTCTTTTAGTCTTTAATTCTGTTTCTTACATTAGTGTGTGGCTTTTGCAGAGGTGCAAGCACTTTGAGATCGGTGGAGACAAGAAAGGAAAGGGAACATCTCTCTTTTAAGTTGTTTCATCTATCTACTTTTTTGTTTTGTTTGGTACTTGTCCTGCTTCAATATTGAGATATACTTTGAATCTACCAGAAATGGTTGTGGTTTTCAATTCAATAGGACTTTTGTCTTATGGATGATATCTTTTGATTTTGTGCACCAATCTTTATTCATTAGGTTGCACTTGAATATTCTCTATAGCTTGCCACAAAGTCTAAGCATCACACATATCACATATTCATACACAATGATAGATCGCTTATAAATAGTTGTTCAGATCTTGAAAATCAATATCATTTTGTGGTGCAAATCAATGTCATGTATGAGCTTCACATATTAAAATGATATTCATGTAGAGAATGAGTTGATGATTTTAGATTATGTTTTAACTTTTAACTTCAAACACGCTAACTTTCACTAAATTCTCTTAAGCACACACAAGATGAGTTGTACGGGCAAAAAGCGAACATGAACGACCATGATAGTCCTAGGTGTTTTATCCTTTGTGTTAGTTTTAATTGAGAGCTGTACGGGCAGAAAGACAGATGAGTTGATATTATTCTCTTGTCTCGGATGTGATTGTTCCTCGCTGTTATGGTGATAGAGGAGAAGGATCTGGTGGTGACGATGGTAACGGTAGTGGTGGTGGGGACATTGGTGGACGATGTGGTGACGGTTAAGGATTCTGCTTTGGTTTTTTTTTTTACTTTTGATAAATTTTTGTTAACACTTTAAATTTTATTGCGTTCTTGTAACAAACTTGTTTGATTTAACTTCTCTCATTCGATTCTCTTGCTAGACAAAATATTACCGATTCGTTTCTTTTTTGGTCATCTAAAAGGATTAATTTCGTCAGTGACTCGTACTACACCATAGTACTCCCATAATGTTATTTCCCATGTATCAATCATTACCATTCCCAATTACGTTTTCCTCTTACCATCGGTTTTAAATTGTTAACTTTTTTTTTTTTAATTTGTCTTTATCTGTTTTGAAATTGTTAATTTACATAAAACATTCATCCTTCTTCAACATTTTACCAATCAGATCCTTTTTTTTTTTTGTGAACAACCAATCAGATCCATTTAAAAATAATAATATCAACGCTATTTGTTGCGACGTTCGAATTTCTCTGTACGGACTGCAAATTTTATAATAGGAACTAGGGGTTAGTCCGGGCTAGCAAATTCTTACTTTTTGGAGGTGTTTAATTTGGTTAATCCAAGGTTAAGTTTTCTTCTCTGCAATTACGTAATATCATTAAAATTTATTCATGCAGACAAAACTAAGTAGATTTGTGTTCTGTACCTATTGTACGGACTGCAAATTTTATAATTGGAACTAGGGGTTGGTCCGGGCTAACAAATTTTTACTTTTGGGAGGTGTTTAATTTGGTTAATCCAAGGTTAGGTTTTCTTCTCTGCAATTACGTAATATCATTAAAATATGTTCATGCAGACAAAACTAAGTAGGTTTGTGTTGTGTGTATGTTTTCTCATTCATTGACAGTATTTGCTACGCTAATATCTACGAGAAGAGGCAACAATCTACTTGCTTGTAAAACACACATCGGGAGGTAAATCGAAGGCTTGAATAATATTGTAAGAAAAAAGTGAGAGGGAGAGATAAATCCAAAAAATTTACTTGCAAATCAATAGAAATCCAAACAACGCATGCGTTGATCAACAATTTGAAGAAATATTATACATCATAGAACAAATACAATGTTTGTTTTACGAATGTATAACCAAAAACATAGTTCAATGTACGATCCAATAAATTAAATACATACTACATATTACACGATATTCATAGAAAGAGATCGATGTTTGATCACTTGGAAGTAAAATGGAGATAGAGAAACACAAAGAGCAATACGACCGGGAACATCAAGATAAGTAGAGGAGATGGAGCAGTTACCGGTCCCATCATCAACGGAAGAATCAGTAACATTAGTGCAACGACAACAATCGCCAAAACCGAACCCATCCCGAATCCATACTCATTCGCCATTATGTTGTTCATCTTCTTTTCGTTACGAGTTGTGATCGATTCTGTGTTAGTGTCTCTACTTGGAGAAGTTATATAAACAGATTCAGACATCAATCTACGGTTGTGTCGTTTCCCCGAGAATTAGAGACAACGTTTCGTGTACTAATGCATGAAACACAAAAGTGGCGAAACCTTTCACGTTTAATAACCTCCTCTAACCCTCAAAACGGTGCGTTTCGGTTTATTTGTTGCTGCCACGTGTTTAAAAACATCATACCCTAAACGCAGCGTTTCTCGTCACAATTTTATAAAACGCAGCGTTTCTCGTCACAATTTTATAAAACGCAGCGTTTTAGTTAACAAAATTCGAAATCTCGAATATTTTTAAACCACCAGGTCCACTAACTTCAAAATGTTGCGTTTTGCATTTGTTGCTATCACGTGTTTAATAAATACACCTAAACGCTGCGTTTTGTGTGAATCAATCGACAGTTTTCTATAAAACGCGGCGTTTTGTAGAAGAAAATTCGAGATCTCAAATTTTTTGAGTTTTTTGGTAATCCCGCCCAAATATTTTGAAATTGAAACTCAATTGTTTTTGTCGGTTTGTGGTAGTGATACTCCATTTATCGTTTTGTGCTTTTTCTTCAAAATCAGAACTTTTTATTTTTCCCCCAAACTTTTTTTTCAAAATCCTAAATTATTTTACCCTAAGATTTTGCCGATGTCAGCTTCAACGAATCGCCGCCGGCTAAAAGATATAAACACCGGCGCCGGAGAAAATCCATCTTCTGGTAAAAAACCATCAAGGTCTGTAACTCCACTTCCGATCTCAAGCAAAAATCCAAGTCCCGCTCTACAGAAATCATTATCCAGCAAAGAGAATCCGAATCCGAAGCTTAGTCACCGGTCATTTGGATCGACTCAGAAGCCAGTGCTTCGTCCTGTTCCGCGTATCGATAAGTCCGCCGTGAGAGGTGTTGGTGATGGTAGCGAGGGTAGGGTTACGCGATCCACGTCTTCTGGTTTGCGAGGTAGGAGTTCTAGTCCATCTGATTTGATTAGGGTTTTCTCGGATTTGAGAAAGAGAAATGAATCTAGGGTTATTGGGGAAAAGGGTGAATCAGATCAGGATAAGAAATCTGGGTTCAAGAGTTCTGGATTCAAACAGGTTACGAGTGAAATTAAGGTTGAGCCAAGTAGGGTTTGTGAGAAAACAGATGAAGAAAGTATTGTTCCAGTGAAATCAAGCAAATTTGAAGGTTCTAGCGTGGCCAGAAATTCAATTTCTGATCCAAAGGAACATGCTTTGGTTGGTTCTGGAGAGAAATCTGCTGTTGTTTTGAAATCTGATTGTAAAATTGAAAAGATTGGGAAAGGTACTAGTGTAGCTTTAAGAAGGAAGTCTTTGGATAATGGTGGGAAGGCAATGGAGGTGTCAAAGGAGATTAGAGGGAATGAAGGAAGCAGCAATAGCGCTGCTAAGTATCCGAGTAAGCTGCATGAGAAGCTTGCTTTTCTTGAAGGAAAGGTTAAGAAAATTGCGTCAGATATCAAGAAGACAAAGGACATGCTGGATTTGAACAATCCGGATTCATCAAAGGTTATAATCTCTGATATACAGCAGAAGATCACAGGGATTGAAAAGTCTATGAGTCATGTTATTGATGGTCCAGAGAAAAACAAAACTACTCAAGTGACGAAAGCAAAAACTTTGGTTAAAGGATTAAATAAGGAAGAGTTGGAAGACAGACTCTTTCCTCACCAGAGGTTGCTAAGGAGCAGAACTCAGTCCAAAACATCTTCACATGTCTCAAAAGGCCATGATTCTGTTGAGCCCAACAAGGCAGTTAATGTTGAAGAAAAGCCCTCAGCTCCTGTTGAGGAGAATGTGATAGCTCTAGAGTTCCTTGCCTCACTTGATAAGGAAAAAGTCACATTTATGAGTGATCAGAATGCGCTGGAAAATCTGGAAGTGCAGGAGATGGATACAGAGGAGCCGTCAAAGGAAAATGATGTTTCAAAAGATGTCAATCTGACTTCCAACTTAAATGAAATTCTCAGAGCAAACGAAGCCCTTGAGGAAATTGATGATGAAGAGAATAGAGAGGAGATGGAGCTAGAAGAGATAGATGAGGGATGCATGTATCAACTCAATGACATTGGGTCCAGAACTTCTACAGGAGGATGGTTTGTATCAGAGGGCGAGGCAGTTATACTTGCTCATGATGATGGCTCATGCTCCTATTATGATGTCGCTAACTCTGAGGTACTATAATCTTATATTTTCAACGAATTATCTTCATTATGGAACACTTTTCCTGCTTTAAAATTTTATAGTATCATGTTAGATCTAACTTGAAATATGCTGGTGTGAACCATTGATATTAAAGTTTCACATTGACCTCAAAATAGTCACACATCTCTCAAGTTACCAGAAGATGTTTAGCATTGCTTTTCTTTATTTAGATTGGTTTTGATCTTAAACTTGCAGAAATGCTTGATTACTGAAGATTTATTTTGGGCTATATTTTGTATGCAAAGCTTTTGATTAATAAATGTTATCCTCTATCTATCTGGGTGGCTTGTATGAAGTTACTGGAGTTCGTGCACCCAAAATGCATTGTTATCTCTTACATCAAAGACCTGAAATTCTTTTTTCAGGTGAAATCTGTGTACAGTCCTCCAGATGGTATCTCACCAAATACATGGAGAGATTGCTGGGTAGTTCGTGCACCGGGTGCAGATGGCTGTTCAGGCAGATATGTCGTAGCTGCTTCTGCTGGGAATACCTTAGAGTCTGGCTTCTGTTCATGGGATTTCTACACGAAAGACATTAAGGCACTACACATCGAGGACGGATCTTCAAGAGTTTCAAGAACCGCTCTTGCTCCTCTACCCAATAACACATCACATGGTAGGAACACTCCGGCTTGTGCAGTGGTACCAGAAACTCAACAATGGTGGTACAGACCGTGTGGTCCTCTTATAGCCTCAACCGGTAGTTTCCAAAGTGTAGTTAAGGTTTTTGACATACGAGATGGGGAGCAAATCATGAGATGGGAGGTGCAGGATCCTGTGTCAGCTTTAGATTATTCGAGCCCTTTACAATGGAGGAATCGAGGAAAACTTGTTATAGCAGAATCTGAAGCAATTTCTGTTTGGGATGTCAATTCCCTTCACCCTGAAGCACAGCATACCATTTCCTCTTCAGGGCGAAAAATCTCGGCTTTTCATATCAATAACACAGATGCTGAAGTTGGAGGAGGTGTTCGCCAAAGGTAAAAACTTTATTTTAACTTCCTATCTCCTTGCTTTGCCTCAGAAATTGATCATATATGAACATTAGGAGACTAAGAAATGTGGATACTTTAGTTTCTCTTTCATTCGCTTACTATGTTTTCTTCACTGAAATGCAGAGTAAGTTCCTTGGATGCTGAAGGCAACGATGGAGTTTTCTGCACTAGTGATTCAATCAACATCTTAGATTTTCGTAACCCATCTGGCATTGGTGCTAAAATCCCCAAACTCGGTGTTAATGCTCAATGTGTATCATCTCGAGGAGATTCAGTGTTTCTAGGATGTACCAATCAGAAATCAACTGCTAAGAAACATATGGCTTCTTCATCTCAGGTGCAGCAATTCTCCATAAGGAAACAGCGTCTCGTGAGCACATACAGTCTGCCTGACTCTAACTCTCATCCGCACCACTCTGCAATAACCCAAGTCTGGGGAAATTCAAATTTTGTCATGGCTACTTCTGGTATGGGACTATTCGTGTTTGATACCGCAAAAGAAGAGACCTTGCAACAACAGCCTTTGACAAGTGAGCGTGGAAGCGTTCAAACAGTAAGAGAGATTATCGGTCCAAACGATCTGTATTGCCCGTCATTTGATTACTCAGGTTGTCGTGTACTCCTCATCTCAAGAGACCGCCCTGCTTTATGGAGATACCTCTTATAGGTAAACCAACAACTTTACTGAATAAAGTTTTTGAATACAAACTTGTGTCAGATGTTTATAGTTGAATTTCGATTTTTTTCAGGTAAATTTTTCAGATGAGTAAAATCAAGCTAAAGATGGTGTTCCCACGAGACCTATTTAGCAAGTGTTAAGCACACCTTGTGCTGCTTCTCTTGTGTTGTGTTCATACTTTTGCTCTCTGTTACCAACTTTGATAGTTTTCTGAATTCTCCTTTCATGCTATTTGCTTATTTGGCTTTACTCTGTACATACTTGTGGTGTTTTGATCAATTTAATAGGTTTTCTTATTACTCATGATTACTAGGTTATAAAATGGTCTGAAGAACTCAGAGATATGTAAACCGACACATATTGTCTTGAACATGGTTGGTAAGATGACATAAAAGCATATTTGACATTGGAAATGGATAGACTTTGTGGATTTTAGGGAGGATATAGTTACCACCAAACGAAAATATTCCTAATTTGGGTCTTTGTTAATGTGGCCTAAAGTGAATCAATCGTTACCCACCTAACTAACCCTTAATCTATTATTTGTTTAATACAAAACATGATTAATTTCTTTTAAATCACATCTGGATCTTTTAGTCTTGTCAAATCTTGCTCTTTCCTCGTTTGAATCTTTGGAGCCATGTCGGATCTTGCGAAAGACGCATGGCGAAAATATCTGATTCAGCTTCAAGCTCACCCTTTACGAACCAAGGTTTGTTGATTTCATTTAATCAAGATTTCTCTTTCTTTTAATTCTTCAGATGATCATGTCGAGGTAATGAAAAATTGTTCAGGCGATCACTGCAGGGGTTTTAACAGGGTGCAGTGATGCTATAGCTCAGAAGATCTCTGGAGTTAAACGGATTCAGTTCCGGAGATTGCTTCTCCTTATGGTTCTTTTTTGCTTTTCTTTTATATGTTTGCACAGTTTTATACTTATTAGTCTCTGAAGAATGTGATTTTGTGATGATCTCTTTTGTGCAGTTGTATGGGTTTGCTTATGGAGGACCATTTGGTCACTTTTTCCACAAATTGATGGATACCATTTTCAAAGGGAAGAAGGGTAATTCAACTGTTGCCAAAAAGGTTTTGCCTTTTGAACCAAACTATCATCTTCTTGGTTATAGCAGTCAACACTTGTTCTTCCAGTTTGTTGAATATCCATGCTTTGAATTAGATTCAACTTGTTTAACTTATAATCTCATAGTTTTCTTGTTGCAATTTGGAATTTGAATGTGCTTAAGATTAGTATAGTCAGAGAGAAGTTACGCGTATACTAGTTTGAAATATCGTAGGAGTATCTCTCTTTCTGATGAATGATGATCAATATATGTATTGTGTTTTAAGGATGGATTTTGTGGAACTAACAAAAAACTGTGTTGAAACAGGTTTTGTTGGAACAACTTACATCATCTCCTTGGAACAATTTTCTTTTCATGTCATATTATGGTTTAGTGGTTGAAGGTAACGATCATGGTCCAGTTTTGAAATGTGTCGTTTTGTTTCCTCTTTAATGGTTTGTGATTTTGAGTTAAGATCTGACATTGTCATGTAATGTTGTACAGGGAGGCCATGGAAGTTAGTGAAGCAAAAAGTTGGGAAAGATTACCCTACGATCCAGTTAACAGCATGGAAGGTAATAAATGAGAGTCACTACCATCTCATTATGTTACACTTTTGACAATTGGTCCAATTTGGATGGTTCTGATTTCTGAAACTTTGTATATGTAACAGTTTTGGCCTATTGTGGGATGGGTTAATTATCAGTATGTCCCTTTGCAATTCCGCGTCTTGTTCAGTAGCTTCGTTGCCTCTTGCTGGTAAAAGCTTTAACCTTTCTTTTTCATTTTGCTATGCAAAAAAAGGTTTTTGGTAACATTTTATCTTTGCATATATTTAGGAGCATATTTCTGAACCTGAAAGCGCGATCTCCAGCGATCAAGAACGCCTAGAGAACTCTATATGGAAAAAACAAAATGATTCTCTTTTTTCTTTTTTCTTCAAATGTACAAAAGCTCCAAGAATTGAATCTCAAGTAAAAAACTGAGAGATGTGATCATTCTTGAATAGATCAAATTCGGTCACTGTTGGTGTTGTTTGAGTCCATTATATCATTTTTTTTTTTCCATCAAACACCATTTCTATTAAGATATCGGAAAGAGACTTTCCGCTAGGGAGAGCCAATCAGGAACCGACGAGCTTACATGGAAAAAGAGACTGTTTCGAGATCGAGCCTGTTTAGCTAAACAATCTGCTCGAGTATTTGAACTTCGAGGAAGGAATCTAATACTAAAAGAAGGGAAAAAAACAAACGAGTGACCGGAAAGATGCCATTTCTGCTGCGAAGGTTGGCCAAGCGTCTTGGTTGTCAATGATCGATATCATGTCCGAGCAATCAGATGCGAAGGCGCAAGTAGTAATGCCTAGCGAGATCAAACAATCCATTGCCCAAAGCAAAGAATCAATCTCCGCGTGGAGTGGTGAGAGGCTTCGTCTCGAACTCTTTAAGCCAAGTTGGAGAATACGGTCTTGGTCGACTAAAACCCAGCCATGTCCACTTAGGGAGTCCTCCGAATGCCAGGAAGCATCCGTTTGACATTCTGAGATCCGGGGAAGGGACGAGTGGAGTAAAACCGGGCAGGCGAGAGGCTCAGGCTCTTCCGCTTCTTTCGTGTTCGCTTTCTTCCAAACAGAGGCTTCTTGTAAGGCCAAAGCCAAAGTCTCCTGAGGAGGTTCTTTAAAGTTTTCAAAGCAAAATCTGTTACGACTTTTCCAGATATACCATAATATCCATGGAAAGAGTTCCAGAGTGTCCTCTTCTATTCCAAATTCTTTCCCACGCCAGAAAAGAAAGTCGAAATTATAGAAGAGAGAACTTCTGGGGAAAATATGCCCTGAGGTAGGAATGGGTGATAAGGCCCAAATTTGCCTCGAAGGCGGACAGTCAAAGAGAAGATGGTTTATAGATTCTTCAGGACCCCCACAACGAGGGCATCCTTTCTCATTGCCAATATGGCGATAGGATAATCTCTGGAATGTGGCTAGACATCCTGAGACACATTGCCACGCGAAATGCATAAGCTTTCGCGTAGTTTTTAACTTCCATACCTGTGCCTGAAGTGCCGAAACACTAGGTCCCTGAAAAGGGGGGTCACAGGTAGGGCGAGATAACTCTCGCGCGGCCCAGTATCCTGATTTAACAGAATAGTTTCCGGATTTTGTATACGACCAGCTAAAACCATCGCTCAAGTAGGTGCGACTTGGCCGAATCCCGAGAATCAGTGGAATATCAGCGGGATCAATCAACGCTTGAAGGCGATCCAGCTTCCAAAGCTGTGTTGATTGATCAATCAGATCATTGACATAGAGAAGAGGGTCTCTAGTGTCAAGAAGGCTCTTGGCAGCTCTCGCAGGAATAGTAGGAATCCATGGGTCCTCCCAGACTTTGGTTAGCATTCCGGAGCCGATGGTTCGCCGAAGACCCGAGACAAGAAGAGGTTTGGCAGCCATTATGCTTCTCCAGCCATATGAGGGCCGATTCGAGCTTCCTCTGTGTAAAGGGTCGCTAAAGCGAAAATAACGTCCCCTTAAGACCCTACTTAAAAGAGAGTTAGGAAATCTGATAAGGCGCCATAATTGCTTAGCCAATAAGGCTAGATTAAATTCCTCTAGCGTTCTAAAGCCAAGACCACCTTCAGCATAAGGTGTACAGAGTTTATCCCATGCAATCCAGTGAATGCCATTGCTATTTTCGTTAGTTTTCCACCAGAACTTTGCAATGGCACTGCTTAATTTTGAACGAATTGCTTTGGGGAGTAGGAAACACGACATTACATATGTCGGAAGAGCCTGCGCAACAGACTTTATGAGGACTTCTTTGCCACCTTTGGACAAGAACTTTGCGGACCAGGTATTAAGCCTTTTTTGAAGTCGGTCTCTGACAAAGGAGAATACTTGAACTTTTGAGCCATGAATCTGTTCAGTAAGGCCCAGGTACGATCCCATACCCCCATCGCGATGAATTCCAATTGCCGCTTTAATGGTATTCCGGGTTGAGTTATCCACGTCATGACCAAACATTACCGAAGATTTAGCAGTGTTTAGTTGTTGTCCTGAAGCCTGGCCGTAGGTACGGAGTATATCAATTATTTCTCGACTTTGCGTCGGATCTGCTTTACAGAAAAATAAGCTATCATCGGCAAACAAAAGATGTGAGGTGGAAGGACTTGCACGGGAAATTTGAAGGCCTTGAATGCGTCCGTTCCATTCAGCATCTTTTAGCTTTGCCACTAATGCCTCTGTACATAATATGAACAGGAAAGGAGAGATAGGATCACCTTGGCGAAGACCCCTAGAAGGACGGATGCTGCCTCTCGGAGACCCATTTATAAGGACTTTATAGGATACCGAAGAGATACAGCAGATGATCCAATCTACCCAACGTTGAGAAAAACCCATCTTCAACATTAGGGCCTTGAGAAAAGACCATTCCACCCAATCGTAAGCTTTGCTCATATCTGTCTTTATAGCCATGAATTTTTTCTTGAAAGCCGGATTTGTACGGAGGGCATGAAAATTTTCCTGGGCTATAAGAATGTTATCTGTGATAAGTCTGCCAGCCACAAAGGCGGATTGAGTCTCGGATATAAGATCCGGAATAAGCTTCTTGAGCCGAAGACTCAATATCTTCGAGATAACTTTGTACCCAACATTACACAAGCTGATTGGTCGAAATTCCGTCATCTTTCTTGGTCTATCTGTCTTTGGGATCAGGCAAATATTTGTCTCATTGAGGCGGTCATCAAAAGATCCAGAAGAGTGGAAATTTTGGACTAATTTAACTAGGTCTGGTCCGGTCAAGTCCCAGAACTTCTGGTAGAAGAGGGCCGTCATCCCATCCGGACCCGGAGCTTTATCTGGATGGAGAGAGAAGAGGGTTTTTTTAACTTCCTCCGGGGATATCTCTCTAGTGAGCTTTTGATTCATATCCTCCGAGATCATAGCTGGCACATCCTGAAGAACAGAATGGAATTCTTGTGGGTCAGAGGTGGTAAAGAGGTCCTTGAAATAGTCTACCGCTAGGCGCTCAATACCCACCTCCTTGTCCACCCACATACCATCATTATTCAAAAGACCCAAAATCTTATTTCGGGCACGTCGCTGTTTAGTAATAGCATGGAAAAATTTAGTATTCTTGTCCCCTTCTTTGTACCAAGTCTCTCGGCTCTTCAATTTCCAAAAGATCTCTTCTTCTCTATAAGCGTCACAGAGTCTCCATTTTAGGGCAAGAAGCTCTTCAGCAGAAACGGAATCATCTTCTTGAGCGCTATCAATTTTATCTTGTAATTCCTTAATCAGTTTCTCCGAGTTCGTAGAATTCAATTTTTTCCACTTAGAAATGGATCGTCTGCAATTCTTAACTTTATGTGTAAAAATACCTCCTTCAAGCGAAGGGAAATTCCAGCCTTCATAGACCGACTCCTTAAACCCCGGTTTACCTAACCATTGTTATCAAAAAAGAATTGCTTAAGAGCTCAGGGAGGACTGTTTTGAATTGAAGCTAGAAGGGGTCTATGGTCAGAGCCCCATAATTTTAGATACTCCACATTTGTGTGGGAAAAAATGGAGTGCCATTCTTCATTTGCCAAAGCTCTATCAAGCCGGGCTTTGATGAGTCGGCGAACTCGATGGCCTGAGGGCCCACAACTACGGCGGCCCACCCAGGAGAAAAGGTTACCTAAGGATGGAACCTCGATCATCCCACAATTTTCGATCATACATCGGAAAGGGAGAAAAGAAGGTTCTGATCTACTTTTACCACCTTTCTTCTCATGGTTTCCGGTAATCTCATTAAAGTCACCAATCATAAACAATGGATCAGAGCGTGAAATGCCAATACGAGTTAACCGCTCCCAAACTAATTCTCGGTATTGAACTACCGGATCGCCATAAACAAAAGTAATAAAAACTCGGTTTCCGTCAATAATAGTCTCAATATCAATAAGCCGATCACTCATAAAAACAAACTTAACCGGATAGTCTTTCGAATACAAAAGGGCAAGACCCCCACTGTTACCAATCGGTTCAACAGTTTGTAAAAAATCAAACCCTAATGAAACTTGCATATTCTGAAGGTGTACAAGATCATTTTTGGTTTCCGATAAAAAAAGAAAACCTGGAGCGTACATACGACACATCTCTTCCAGTCGACGGGTAGTAAGTTGTGCACCCGCCCCTTGACAATTCCATGATAGAATCTTCATATTTTTGTTCCGGAGGAAGAGTAAAAACCCACCGTACTAATAATTGAAAAAATACTCTCCCTAGAAAAAGGAGGAAAATGTTATTTTTCGGATAATACATTTGGACTTTAAAAAGAAAAAAATCCAAGTCCAAAAAATTATGAACCAAACAAATATCATTTTAATTTTGGCGGACCAAACAGGCTTGAAGCCCATACAATTTTCTAAGCCTAAACAGACCCGAATAAAAACGTAAATGGGCCAAGCCCAAACCCGGTTTGCTCGCAGATTTCCTAATTCGATACTTTGTTGACCTAACTTGGTCATAGCGGAAACGGAGCGACGGCAAAACTCGGAGGTGAGGCTCGGTGGTTGTACGGTGGATAACGTTTCACCTAGGTGAAGGAGACACGAAGCCAACACTATTCTCACCAGTATACGAGTCAACCGGTGGAAAGGGGGTGAAAGGGAGAGCTTCCACAGACACCAATCTTCAGCCATGAAGGCTGAGAAGGGACCATCAATGGTCGTGATAACCGTCAAGAGAAATTTAGTGGCTGAGCCAGAGGAGACTCTCTCCTTGAAGGAGGAAGTGATTAGGGTTAGCCATGTTGGATCAAAGAGAGACAAGGTTGGTGTGGCAGCGATAGGGTGTCGGAGCGTGTCGCTGATCCGGAGAGATTTATCACGGTGGCAGGAAAAGAGCAACTGTAACAGATCTGTAATGTCACGGCCGCGGTGGGGATAAATTTGATGATCTCCATATCGGAAGAGAATGACTTCCGATCTACAAAATAAAGATTGATGAGCGAAGACGAAGTCTTTAAATTCCTCCTTCGCAGCTTGTATGTTTACATCGGGAAAGAACACAAGCGGAGCTCCAGAAACATATTGAGTAGGGCAGCCGATTTCCTCCAAGCACGAAGGGTCATGCGCCATCGCAGAGAACTTCCGCAGAGGAGAAGAGATAGTATCGCCGGAGGGTGGACCCGATGCCAAATCTGCGGCCAGAACGAGTCCAGGAGCCACCGCGATTGGAGGAGTGGAGTCAGGGGCAAGCTCCGACGAGCAAGGAGGAAGCTCGAGGCCATCGGAGATACCATCGGAGGGAGGCTGCTTTCCAGAACTAGAGGCAACACGAGAGGTCAAACGGGCGAACTTGGAAGAACCGGGAATCACCCCACGCAGAGGCTTCCTCCGCTTCTTCTTAGGAGCCATAGAGAAATTTCCGGCCAACGGCGTGAGGTCGATGTCGGGGGGAGAAGAAAGAAATTTTAGAAGCTCTGCTAGACGCTAGTAATGAGCTTAAAAAGTCTCTGCTTTTGCAGGAAAAGGTCAAGGAGGACTAAAATCTTTGTTTTCAAACAAGAAGAAGATACTTGATTGTTAATTGGGAACCACATCAGAGGAGACAGCACAGTTTTCGTCGGATAAGACCAAAACCAGAGTCATAACTCTAGGTAAAGAGGACACCTAGGAAAGCAGAGCAAAAACCGACCGGGAAAACAGAGAAAAGAGGAGGAAAGGAAGACGCTGAGAGGGAGAAGCAAGGAGGAGGAAGGTCAAAGGTGGTCGGAAAAACGAAAAGGCTTGGGCGAACATTATCTCCTGAAGAAGAAGACAAGTCCATTATATCAATAATTCAAATTCAATGCATTTTCTAGTTTTCACTCTTTAACTCATCCTCAAACAGTCAATGCAATGGTGCATGGGATAGGATATTGTCACGTAGAAGCCTGTCTTGAGTTTTGGAGCCTAAAGAAAATTACGCATTTTTGTAATAAAACTGATTTCATAAAAACTTCAATATTATAGATGATTAGTGCTATCTTTTTAAGGGACAATCTATGAAAATTACTATACCAAATGCAAAATTTCAAAACTTGGATCCCAAATTTCTAACATAAAACTTGCGATAAAGAAATAATTTTCTTTAAAATTTATAATATTTATTTTGTACTTTGTACTAAATTATCAAGTACTAAACTCCCACCTATAAAAATTAAAGAACTAGTAGGAGTCGGATTATCAAAAACAAACTAACAAACAGGCTGCTTTTACTTCACTTACTCATATTTGAAGTAGTTACTTAACTCTAACCACATTTTAGTAGCTATTTGAGGAACACACTTAACAATTTTAATCAATTCTCTGTAACATTTTTTATCTACATATAGTAGCTATTAGATATTCGTTGTAAACCTAATAAATGTTTCTCTTTACAGAGAACTTTAGATTAAACGTCTACGTACATAGATATAACCACCAAATTAACTAAAAACCATTAAACGTTGCCCATTGACATAATTAAACTATAGTTTATCATCCTGATCATTCAAGAAACATAAATAAAAATGATTTCGAGAAAGTTATACTTGTGTACCAAAATGAAAACTTAAAGCTCGTATGGAGCTGTAGTCTTATAGACTAGAAAATGCGTCGATGGAGTCATGGTAAGAGTAAAGATGTGATGGGTAAGATATGAAAACGTAAAATCAATTACGAAGTTGGAAGTTAAAACGTAATATAGGTCAGTTAGTTAGTAGTTGAAGCAATGTGCAAATATTTATTTAAATAATTTTTGAATAAGGGTTGGTGTAATTAATTGGCTACTCGATCGCCTTTATAAACGGAGCTGGTCGCTTGGCTTATGCAAAAAACAAACATAACTTAAGACATACAAATATCAAAAAGAGATGGGGCGTCTCGTAAACGGAGCTGCTCTCTTGGCTTTGTTATGGTTCAGTGTTTTTGTGGCTGCGAGAGAAGGTGTGACCTTTGGAAAAAATGAAGAGGAGAAGACCTTCATAGGCGGTGGAAAGGGCTTTGGAGGCGGTCTTGGTGGTGGATTTGGCAAAGGAGGTGGAATCGCAGGCGGGATAGGCAAAGGCGGTGGTTTTGGAGGTGGCATAGGTAAAGGTGGAGGCATTTTCGGCCACGGAATAGGCAAAGGCGGTGGTTTTGGAGGTGGCATAGGTAAAGGTGGAGGCTTTGGCGGGGGAATCGGCAAAGGTGGTGGGATTGGAGGCGGCTTTGGAAAAGGTAAAGGATGGGGCTTTGGCGGCGGAATAGGCAAAGGTGGTGGGATTGGAGGCGGCACTGGAAAAGGTAAAGGATGGGCCTTTGGTGGTGGCTGGTTTGGACACCACTGAGCTGAATGAGAAGAAAATTGTAGTTGCATTGCATGGATGTCTGACGTAAACAAGATGGTTAAAACAACTACTTCTGAATAAATTAAATTAGCTTTGTATTTCCCATTCCAAGATAAGCTTTGTACTATTGTGTTTCCACTAGTTTCTATAATTATGAGAACTTGGTATCTAATATCCATCACTATGGATCAAACCACAATCTCCTAAGATAATTTTAACAATGTGGGTGCCTTTGTGCTTCTACAGTATGTGCCTATTTAAGTTTGTTTCATTCTCTTCAATCTCATCCCTCACAAAAGAACCTAAGTAGTAGCTCACATACTGAAACCACATACTGATAACAACTTGACTCTTCGTTCTTCAAGCGCTTACCTCAACTCCGAGTAGAAACAGACCTCGAATTCAACCTCGATGAGTCGTTGCTCCACCTAAGAACTCAAGCACCCCTCGATAAGTCCTGTACCAACACATGACGCAAAATGATTATGCCCTTTCTCAAAGCTACACTCTCACTATTTTCTACACCTTCCTCTCAATGCTACCACTAAGTGAACCAACTACCTCTACTTTCTACTCAAACCATACATTCAGCGGTTGACTCTCACCTCCATCGAGTTCTGCTCACCATCTGCTTTCTTAATCAAGTACCATGAAGCATTATTCCCTGCTTAAGTTATATCCATCAGGGCCAAAACCAAGATAACACAATCAAAAACAACCAATCCGGCAAGAATACTAGGACGACAAACATAATACGAAAACAGCAAAGCCTGTAGTTATAATAACTCCGCCAAAACTCAAAAGTACACTCAACCGAAAAATAACTTAAATAGAAGTGACTTATTGTAATAGATAGCACATGCTTATAAAGAGATTCAAGCAGTCCAACCCGTTATGAAGTCGAGGAACCTTTGATTTGAGCCAAATTCTTCTTGAAAAGGATCCAAAAACCAGGGTGGTGATAATCCCCTTAAATAGTCACTACTGGCCTTGTCGACCCTGACCATCATTGTACCCACCACCATAACCTTGTGAAGGGTCAGATCGCCAAGATCCATCACCATAACCCCCTCCCATGTAGCCACCACTACCAGGGTTGTTTGAACCACCACCACTAGGACGCCCTCCAACCACACCATATGCAGCTTGATTTCCATAACCAGAATCACTTCCACTGTACCCTCCATATCCGTAGCCTTGGTTACTATAGCCAGATGGTGACTGCGCAGGAGGAGCTGCACCAGGAACCCCATATCCACTATGAGCAGCACCACTCCCATAGCCTGGGTTCCCATAACCACTAGGAGCTGGAGTGTCCCATGAGTTTCTCGGGGCAACTCCAGAACTACTTCCATAGCCGGCACCTGGAATGTTCGTTGCTCCATATGCAGCAGTAGCACCAGCGCCATAACCTCCAGCAGAACCAGTGTAACCTCCATACCCACCATATCCAGTACCATTACTACCATTTCCATACCCACCACCATAACCGGAAGAACCATAAGATGGTAAACCATTTCCAACATTTTGATGCTGCATAAACCTATTGGAATCCACACGCCCATCATAATTGCTTTCATTACCACCATAACCCTGGTAACCACCACCACCCATTGCTCGTCCACCTCCAGGATTGGCATCTTTAGGAAGAGCACGCTTAACTTCAACTTGCTTACCACTCAAATCATGGAAAGTCTTGTGCAACACACGGTCTACCGCATCTTCAGAGTCGAAGGAAACAAATCCAAACCCACGAGGACGGTTAGTAGCCTGGTCATACATGATTGCAACATCAGTCACAGGACCATAAACTTCAAAATACTGACGAAACTCTTCATCTGTCAAAGTAGGTGGCAAGCCTCCAACAAAGATCTTCTTGGTTTTATTGAAAGAATCACCTCCAGAACTTCTAGATGTATTAAGGTTCCCAGTTCTTCCAGAGACTTGCTGCTCCTCTCTTGACATGGCCCTCTTCACATCAACCTAAACGTCAACCAAAATCAATAAAGCTCAGGACAAACCTCCAAGAATCATACTTTACCCAAATCAAGAACAATAGCGCAACAGCAATTACATACATCTGTTTTTACTTATCCCTATAGACCATACGAAGCTCTCTATCACTTCATAGAGTGTATGATTAACATAACAAAACAAATCTCGATGACCTTAAAATACCTCATTAGGGCAATTGGCAAACCAAACAAAAAAAAATCAAATTTTCACTCTCTTTCTCAATCAACACAGCCAAACGCAAAAAAGGGCAAAGCTTTAGAACAAGAAAACCAACACAATTAGAGAAATGGAGCTACAAGAGAACAATAATAACCTCTCTAGTATCAATGTTGTGTTTGTCTTGAAGAACCCTATCGAGAACAGAAGGATCCGAGAAGATAACGAACCCAAAACCCCTAGGTCTACCTGTGAGCTTGTCTCTCATCACAATAGCTTGCGAAACCTCTCCATAGTTACTGAAATGTTCTCTCAGCTTATCTTCATCAGTTTCCCATGAAACACCACCGACAAAAAGCTTTCCTTGATCCGAATCCATGATTTATACACCACTCTCTTACTAACCCAGAATCACAAACCCACCTCAATCTACAAAACCCACTGCAGAAACTTGAAGAAATTACGAAAAGGCTTTAGCTTTTCGAAAGAAGAGAGCAATGGCTGTAGCCGATTTGAGAGGAAGAAGACAGCGAACGAATATTTCTATTGGTTTGGTATTGATATTCGCGAAGGTACGAATCTGTCAGCAGATAAATAAATCAACGGTCCTGATCTTTTTCCAATATTTTAACGGTTCAGATCTGTTTCCCGTTTTCTTGTAACAGAGATGCTTACTTATGGGCTTAGTCCGGCCCAATGGAAATTATACATAATGGGCCATAAAGACCGACGATGCTTTCACTCGTGTGTTTTCTATTCCACACGTGCCAGCAAATCTTACAAGAACGACAAAAAAATCTTTCGTGCTGTGACAATCTCTCTGCCAGATATGCACTTTGTTGTCGAAAATTCTCAAGTCCACATTACAGCTTTATTTAGTACTTGTAATAATTTACCTCATATGTTTAATTAATCTCTTAATTAACCTCGTATATGTTTTTAAAAAATAAAACAATAGCCTATAAACGACAATTAACGTGCACGATCTCTACTAAAAAAACTTAATTGAGTTTTGAGATTTTTTTCGAAAAAATTAAAAGAGAATTTGGTCAATGTCAGCTTTAATCACTGAAAAAACTTTGAAATAATAATAATGATTAATGATTATACGATACCAATAACAAAATTCCATAATAAATGTAAAAAGCGGCAAAAAATGTGGGGCTAATGTATAAAGTTTGGTTTATATTTTTAAAAAATCAAAATATAAAAACAGTTCAGCCTTCAACAACAACAACGAAAAAGCCGTTTTGTATTACTTTTGTTTATTTCTCTTTCTCTGTGTCTTTCTTCGTCTCCTTCGATCTCACTGTCTTTCATCTGGAACAGCTCGATCTTTAATTTAGGGTTTTTTTATAGCTACATTTTCTTGTTCTGTCTGAATCTCTTTTGTTGTTTAGGTTTTATTTGATTTTTTTTGACTAATCTTGAGAAATATGGAAGAATGAGAAGAAGAAGAAGAAGGTGATTGTTTTGATTCTAGATGGAGCAGCTTGTTAACTTCATTATTCGACCTCCAAGGTGAAGATTTTTTCTCATGAGTTGAATAAACTTACTTATTTATGGAATTTAGGTTTTGAGTTTTATGTTTCTATTTTGGATTTTTTTCCTCTATACTAGGTTGTAGAATTGGGTTTCATAGGAAGTTTAGAGTTTGAGATTTGAGTTTTGGATTTTGGTTCTTGGTCTTGAGTTGATTTTGCTGATTTTAAAGTACATGAAGTAATATATTTAGGGTTGCATTTCCTCAAGAAAACCCTGTTCTCTTGAATATAACTGGTGTGTGAATGCAGAGCTGAATACAATCCGGAACATGATCTCTTGGAACAAGAGTTCTTGCTTAAAGGAAGATGGTATCAGAGGAAAGATTTAGAGGTAAAGCTTTTATTTTTCTGTTGTTGTGAACTCCTGAGTAGAGAATCCCAGCAAACATGTTGTGATTCAATGGTTATGTGTTTTCATCAGTTGTTCACTGTTGGTCAGAGTGATTTCCTTATTTTCCAGCCTCTGGTTTGGACTGCCTTAAAGATCTCAAGGTTCTGTTTTTTTTCTTCGCCTAAGGTTATAGTGGAACTTGTATTGTGACAGGTTAAAAACATCAGAGGAGATATCCTTCAGTGTAGTCATTACATGCCAGTTGAGCGTCCTGAAGATAGGCCTCTACCTTGTGTAATATACTGCCATGGAAACAGGTAATCCTAAATTTTATTTATTGGAATGTGATTTGAGCGGTACTGGTGATATAAGTTTACTAACTCATCTTTTATCGGATGCGATAGCTGGTAGGATACTATGATAACCATGCTTTGAAATGAAAAAACTGTTATGCTTACCAGCAATACAAAAGTTTTCCAATTTTCATAATTGCTTAATGTTTTTTTTAGTATATTTATCATTAATGGCTTCGTTCTTATTCAGTGGATGTAGAGCTGATGCCAGTGAAGCTGCGATCGTATTACTTCCTTCAAACATCACGATTTTCACCCTTGACTTTTCGGGATCTGGTCTCTCTGGCGGGGAGTATGTCACATTGGGTTGGAACGAAGTATGTCCTTCTTTGATCTTTTCCCAATATATTCCTCTTCTCCTCGTCAAATGTTATGGCCTAAGCTTATAGTTGTTTCGACTAAACAAGTTGACGATAATGTTTTCCTTCCCACAATCGCTGGGTTCATTAGTCATAATCCTGAATTGTGAGAGCAATCACTTCTTTTATCACTGTTAAACGTGACGTTGATGCTTGCAGAAAGATGATCTGAAAGCTGTGGTTGAGTATTTGCGCACGGATGGAAATGTCTCCCTGATTGGCTTATGGGGTCGTTCAATGGGTGCTGTCACAAGGTTCCTTTAAGTCTTTCATTTGTTGAATTACTTAATAAGAGCCTTTTCATTTCCAGTCTTGCATGTAGTTTCAACTAACTGTATGGAACTGTCTACTTTAGAAGTGGATCTTGTAAGCAACCGAGGATTTACTTATCTTGTGAACCCATTTTTCTTTACTAGTGGAGAGGGATATTCTTTTTGTAGTCTATTTAGCTATGAAAACATGAATCTTTCCATTGTCCAAATGATCGGCAATGGCCAATAGCTACAACATGTCACACGTCAACCACTGTAACTTAAAATTTGATTGCTACAATCATTCTCTTTTTCTGCTGGACTATGAAATCATTTTGTTGCTACACTTATTTTCCAGTTTGATGTATGGAGCTGAGGATCCCTCTATTGCAGCGATGGTTCTAGACAGCCCGTTCTCTGATTTGGTTGATTTGATGATGGAACTTGTAGATACATATAAGTTCCGGTTACCAAAATTTACTGTAAGTAAATGTAAATTTGTAGCGTCTATTTCTCGTGGGATTTGTTCAGCATATGACAAGATTTCCACATTGTTTTTGTTATACGACATTAAGCTCTTTCAATATGTTTATTCAGATAAAATTTGCAATACAATATATGCGGAGAGCTGTTCAGAAGAAAGCCAATTTTAACATAACGGATCTCAACACCATTAAGGTCATTTTCTCTGTTAGTTTTTCTTTTTGTCTAGTTTATTACTTAGATGATTAACTAATCTATTCACTAGCATGCAACATCATCATTGTTTTTGGTGATCATTTATGTATTTTCTTGATGAGTAAATGTATCAAATTCAATATGTTATGTATGTTTTGTTTCTCGTTTTTTCAAATTTTTATCGTTCATGCTGCAGGTAGCGAAATCTTGCTTTGTTCCTGTTTTATTTGGACATGCCATAGACGATGACTTTATTCAGCCTCATCACTCAGAGCGTATATATGAAGCATACATAGTAAGTTTTCCATGCTACGGAGACGTTCTTCATATTATACTTTTCTTCCTCTAGCTTCTCATAAGTTCTTGATAAACCCTTGACCATGTAGCCTTTAAACCTCTGGCTTTTGATTATGCCAGGGAGACAAAAATATCATCAAATTCGAGGGAGACCACAATTCACCACGGCCACCATTCTACTTTGATTCAATAAACATCTTTTTCCATAACGTTCTTCAACCTCCAGAGGTGGTCAAGCCAACATTTTTTGACCCGATGGATGATTACTTTTCCAAGGTAATGAATCTTGCAGCGATGCATTTTTAGTTTTTGGGGATGTTCTTGTCTCTTTAGCGAGAACGGTCAATGATGTTAACTGTTTTATGTTCAGGGCAGTTGGAACACCATGCAAGAACTAAGTTCTCCACAATCCTCAGCACAGAAAAGTAAGTCATCCAGGTTTTTCTCTATGTTTACTCCAGGTGTTATTGTATCCTTAGGCTTCTCATGCCAAAAACGTTCAAAGATTGTTCATCTTTTCTAACTGATTTTCAGGTTTAGTTGCAGGAAGCACCTCCGATGCTATAAATGAAGTCCGCTTAAAAAGACCTATGAGTCGCACAGAGGTTGGTAGTTTGTGACTACGTTCTGCAAGTTTATAATGCTAGTTTCCAGAAACAGTTTGCTCACTACATTTGTCAAGTATACTTTTCCGTTGTGCTGATTCCCTAGAAACATAATGGTTTCTTGGTTACTTCTCTCAGGTTCCTTCCAATGACCCATCTAACCAATCATCATCAGAAACCAAGGTATAAGATCAGTTTCTCTTATCTTTTTGTATTACTGTGTTTGTGGTAAGGGTATGGTCATTGGTCATTTACTAAGCTATTTGATTTATGTTTATGATATGATGGTTTTTCAATTAACAATAGTAGAGACGCTAGTTGCAGGGTGACCAACTTCTGAACATGTAAAATATTGTATGTGGAAGAGAAACAGAAATGAAGAGATGAGCAAAATATTGACAATGTTTCTTGATATGATGATTTATTTCAGGAAAAAGAGAATAATGAAGTCTCCAGTAGTTCATCTTCTGATATGATCAGCTTTGATTTGTCGAATGGAGATCCATATCCTCCTCATCTTGCGGTAGCTTTAGATGATGATCAATTTGTGGAGTTTCACGTAGATGAGCTGGCAGATTTTCCATCTAATGCAGAGGAAGAAGAGAGGGTGAGAGTTAAAAAAAGTGGATTTTGCACTTTGAATCCTCTTTATGACTAAGCTCTATAACTTCGTTTATTCACATTTCTTAATGGTCTCAGATGTTGATGGAAGCGGTGATGAAATCGCTGAAGGACATGGAGGTTGAAACTCATCAGAACAAAGAACCCTCCAACACCAATACAGAGAACACTGAAGGTAATGCTGCTTCTTCTACTACAGAACAAGAATTGGCACATTCTGAGACAGCTCCTGCTCCTGGTCCAACACCATGTAACCATGATGCGCGATCATCTTCTGAAGCCAGTGTTCCATTTAAAACTTCAGATTCTCTGCCAGGACCTGTAAATGTTTTTGTTCCTGGTGCTTCACCCAAAACGAGTCAGAACAAAAACGACGTCATTGATTTATCAGCTCGTACAAAGGCAACAGTGACTGTGGTTGGACGTAGTAGCACATCAGGAAACGTTTTAGATGGGTTATTACGCCGATGGGATCTTAACTTCTTCAAAGGTAGATAATTCCATTAAGTTATGTGTTTTGGTTTGTGCAAAATAGAAAGGAAAGTTAAAATGTTTTAAAGGTTTTTCATGACAAGTTATCTTATGGTTATGGTTTCTATGATTTTGTTCATATGCATATAGTATGTTGTGTCTTCGCAAAAATCTGTCAAGAGAAGAAATCATCTATTGTTGGAATTTCGTCTGCATTTGTTCCTTCCATGTCTTTTGAACAAAAGGCCTTTTATCCTCTTGTTATGAACATGTAATGAGATCATCTTACAAATATACCATTAATCATATTTTGATCATGTTTGCCTTCGTTAAGTGTGAAGCAGAGCAAATTCTGTGGAGGCAGAACATAAAAAAATAGACCATTTGAAAATTTTGTTAAAGACACTTTGATGACAAATAAAATGAATTAGAGACAATTTGGGTTTGAGACAAAGTCAATGACCTTATAATTTGTTGCCTGTGATTTCTTAGTCTAACTCAACAACAGCATTGCTTCTTCAATGAGTTCATTTATTGTTGAGCCATGACTTGCCAAACCAACCGTGCCAGAGAATATATCAAAGTTCTCAAGCTCAGCCGCGGTCTCAAAGACGGTCTCTAATTCATTCTTCATTTCAAGGTTTTGGAAAGTCTTGACCGTCTCAGGATTAGCTTTCATCATTGCAATGGTTAGCTCTATTGCAAACCTCCTGATTCTTGGAACCTTTGGAACTGGCTGTTCATATTTCTTGAGAATATTGGTTAATGCCTTGGCTAGTTCTTCCTCGGTTACTCCCGCTTCCTCGAATATCCCTCTCAATTCTTCAGGAGTACTCATTAACTTCAGAATATGCGGTGCTAATCCCAACATAACTTCTTGAGGTTTTCCCTCTTCATACTTGATTGCCATAAGAACCTGCTTTGAGAAGATAACATTAGTGATGATGATGATTCATGAATCTAATCAATTTCTTCTGGATCAAGAACATGAGAGGAATTACTGTTGCTCCTGCAGATTTAATAACTTCCTTCAGCTTTTCATTGAACTGATCAGGAGCTGTATATGCGCAGAGATTCCGCAAGATTCTCGCTGCATTCAACCGAATCAATGGGTTGTCCAACGCCTCAACGAGTCTCTGAAGAACATTTGATCTCAAGATCCGTTGGCAATTGCTTTTACTTCCTTGAGCTAGCATAGCTATAGATTCACCAGCAGAGACTCTCACACCACTTTTACCCACTGGGAGCTCATTGTTCAAGAATATGCAGAGAAGTGCCTTCAAAACCCCGCCTGTGCCCCCAATTTTCTCGGCTGCACCTTCGTCAAATGCAAGGGAAGTCAAGATCTCTGCACCGAGCTTCTGCAAATCAGGTTGACTCTTCCCATGGTGTAATGTTTCCCTAATGTTGCTCACTGTGAAGACATTGGCAGATATATCTCTCCTCAAGTTCTTCCCCGTTGCACCAGTCGTGGTCACCAGGTTCTTTAACAGCTTCAAAGACCGTTTCACAAGCATGATCTGAATAGGTCTCGCAACGGATTCCTCTAACAGCATCTTATCAGCATAAGTGAAGTCAATGATCTTTGAAAGTAACCCTTTTGTTTTCCCAATCTTGCCACAGTTATCATGATCTCGAGCTAGCCTTTTCAGAATCAGCAGTCCAAGACTGATCAACGTCCATAAATTTGATTGATCGTCCATGGCTTGACCTGAATCTCCTGTGGTCTGTAAAAGAGAATATATGGACTCAATCGCTCCAGGGATCCCCGCAACTCTCAGAGAATTCTGCTTCTTACTAGCTAATCTTGAGAGAATCTCAGCAGCTGACCTTCTCACAACTTGTTGATTCTGGTTTCTCCAATTCAACATCTCCAGTAACCGCTCTACGATCTCGAGATTCGTTCCAATCTTCTGCAGAGTATCAACAGAATAGTCTTGGTTGGTCGAGAATCTAGAGAGAATGTTTGCTCCAGTGAGTTGCTCATCAGGAGAATTCGACACCAAAATCTCCATGGCGAAAATGGCCATACCAATCTTTAAGCCGTCGAAGATGTTCCCATGGAGACATCTGGAGTAGGCGTCGTAGAAGAATCTTTTCACCAAGTCTGTCGAGACCGCATTCTTGACTCACTTTTTCAAAAATATTGAAAACGTTGATCATCCATTCCCAGTAAGCTTTCTCGACAAGAAAGATAAGAGGCGCGGCAAGCGATATAGAGTAGAAGAGAGTCAAAGCAGAGTAAAAATTGGTGGGTTTCAAGTCGTTGCTTCTATAGTCTTGCTTGATGAGCTTGAACATGGAGGTAACAATGCTGGCGAAAGCAGAAGCAATCTGGAGCCAATAGAAGACGCTGCTCAAGTTGATTCGAGAGACTGTGTATTTAGACGAATGTGGCAGTTCAAGCTCATGGCTTCTGCTGAAAGTCCGAGATCCTTCGACAACAAGAATCACAGTAACAAACCAGAAATCTGATGTCTCCAAACTTCCAACGAATCCACCAAGAAGGACAACTGTAGCCCACACGAATCCTAAAGATCCCAACCGTGTAGCAATCTGTGGTTAAGAACAAAAATTCTAACCTCAAAATTACAAAACAATATACCAAATAATATTGGAATGTCACACACAAAAACCTTCTCAAGAACAGCCAGTCGTAAGGCAAAAAGATTCAGTTTTTTCTCCGGCGCTGGGGCTACCAACTGTATCAGTCTCCGAGGTTCTGGAGTGGAAGTCTCGCCTGATCTGGAAATAGTTCTGCCAGAAGAACTCGGATGTTGTTCTACTTCTACGACCAAATCGGTAGTTCGCTCAGCCATTTGAGACAAAACAGAGAAACAATTTTCTTTCTCTGTTGATTTTGTAAGAAATGTTCTGGTTTTGCCGTTGCCTAATAGTTTTTCTCTTTTTTTGGGTCAACTATAGCTTTGTTGCTCTAAATTTTTACCATTTGATTAATCTTCCATGTGAGGGTAGCTGTCGAATAAATTACCTAGATCTACAAATCAATTCCTTTTCAAATCCACTGAACACATGGTCATGAAACCCCATTTTGAAGGAACCCTACTTCAATATTTTTTTTATTATACATACATATAAATTATTGTAAATATGAGCAAAATAGTAAATTTGATGAATAATTTTTTTTTTATAAGGGTTAAGTTGTTATTATTTTTTAAAAGATATAATTATACTATGTTTTTAAAAATAATAATAGTTTTGTTTAAATTGTTTATTTTTATTTTATAATTTTTAATATTGTGAAAATTATGATGTTATTTTTTTTTTTAATTTTAATGGGACTCCAAAAATTTTTGGTCAGAATCTGGTGTGGTGAATAACACAAAAAACCGAACTGGCGCAAACCAAAAGATAGATCGAAAAAGATGTGAAAATGATTTTTATATTGAAAAAGATGTGAAAAAGATGTGAAAATGCTCGAAATGATAGGTATTTGTCCACAAGTGAATATTATAATATATCATCTCCGCCTTTATAGGCTCGTTCCTCAATCAAAGTGAAACGTATCCCTAGCATTAAATTCGGTAGTTGAGATAAATGATAAATCTATTTTATGTAGTTTAAAACTTGTTGGGCCTCTAACCCTCTAACAATTCCTTACTTAAAAGATATGAGGAAGCCTTCTAAACCTGATATCTTGTTCTTCGTAGAAACAAAAAACGGCTTTAGCTATGTGAATACCTTAGCTGCAGATCTTGGTTATCCTCATAGCTATATTATCCCTTCAGATGGCCTAAGTGGAGGAATGGCTATTTTTTGGAATGACAATATAGATATTGAGTTTTTGGATCCTCCTACACTAAACTACACGGATATGTATGTATCTACTTCGGGTCATCCTACTTTTTGCCTCACCTATGTCTATAGTGATCCTGATCAGCGGCATAGAAATGCTATGTGGGAGAGAATGAAGGTATGGGCTGAGACAGGTATGTATCGCAACAAGCCTCGATTAGTTCTTGGAGATTTCAACGACATTAAAAGCAATGGAGAAAAGCTGGGAGGTCCTTTAAGGTCTGAAGCCTCTTTCAAAACTTTTAGAAAAATGCTCAACTCCTCTGGTCTCCATGATTTAAAAACATTGGGAGCAAGATTTACATGGTATGGACAGAGACACACACATACAATCCAATCACGAATTGATAGAGCTGTCGCCTCAGTGGAATGGTTTGATGCTTTCCCTAGAGCTTATGTAAAATTATTGGATTGGATTGGCTCTGATCATAGACCACTGTTAGTTGATATGGGAGATAAAAAGAAGCAAGGATGTGCATTATTCAGATATGATAATAGATGGAGGTTCAGTAAGGAGTTAAAAGAGGAGTTGGAAAAAACCTGGCTAGCTAATTGTCAAGATCTTCCAGGTGACCAATTTCATGAAGCATTAAGGCGATGCAGAGTTTGTATGTCTCATTGGAAGTCTCACAATATTCACAACTCTACAAAACGAATTCAGGCCCTAAAGCAAAGAATCCACCAAGTGTATAATTCTTCTCCCATCGACTTTAACCTTATTAAAGCTTTGAAATCGGAGTTAACATTTGAATACAGGATGGAGGAGGAATACTGGAGAACAAAGAGCCGAATCCAATGCCTCATTGCTGGAGATAGAAACACAAGATTTTTCCATGAGAAAACAAAGCAGAGAAGAGGCTATAATAGAATCACATCAATTATAGATTCCCAAGGAAAGGTATGGAGCTCAGAGGAAGATCTTCACAGAGTCATAATTGATTATTTTGATTCTCTGTTCTTCTCTGACTGCCAAGAAGACATGGATATGATCTTGCAGCACATTCAGCCTAGTGTAACACAGGAAATGAATGAGGATCTTGTTCGTCCTATTTCAGAGGAAGAACTTTACAGAGCTGTTCATCAAATGGCTAGAGAAAAGGCGCCAGGTCCTGATGGTTTAAACCCAGGATTTTATCAAGATCATTGGCCTACCATACGCTTAGGTGTGCTAAAATTTGCTAGATCTTTTTTGGAAATTATGCATTGGATCCAGCTATCAATCACACCCATATCTGCCTGATCCCAAAGATAGACCATCCTACAGAAGTTAGAGATTATAGGCCTATTAATCTTGCTAATGTTGCCTATAAAATTTTATCCAAAGTTCTAGCAGAAAGACTCAAACCTTGGTTGAACACTATAATTTCTGAAAACCAAACTGCATTTATCCCAGGGAGAAAGATTACTGATAATATCTTGATCGCTCATGAGCTTATTCATTCTCTTAATACAAGGACACGTGTTCAGCCTTTCATTGCTGCTAAGCTAGATATTACTAAAGCATTTGATAAAGTTGAATGGTCTTTTATTGAAGCTGTGATGAAGCGTATGGGATTTTCAGAGATCTGGTGCAAATGGATTATGAAGTGCATAACTACAGTTACCTATTCAGTCCTAGTGAATGGTCAGCCAGTTGGAAATATTATCCCACACAGGGGTATTCACCAAAGTGATCCCATTTCACCTTATTTGTATTTGTTACGCACTGAAGGTCTCTCTGCATTAATTCATAAAAGCATCAAATCAGGCACTCTTCATGGTTTCAAAGCAAGTCGAACAGGTCCAGCAATCTCACATCTACTTTTTGCAGATGACTCTCTGTTATTCTGCAAAGCTACGGTGGAGGAATGTTCATCTTTACTCAATATTCTACACCAGTATGAGAAAGTTTCAGGTCAGGCCGTCAATTTCCAGAAATCAGCTATAACTTTTTGTAAAGGCATCGACTCAGAATCAAAAAAGACTATTAGTCAGATTCTGGGAATTCACAAAACAAAAGGATTTGGTAGATACTTAGGCCTCCCTGAATTTGTGGGCAGAAACAGAACAAATGCCTTTTCTTATCTAGCTCAGCGAGTTGATCAGAAAATATCAAGTTGGTATAACAAATTTCTCTCCCCTGCAGGCAAGGAAGTTCTTCTCAAATCAATCATTACAGCTATCCCAGCCTATAGTATGTCGTGTTTCTTGCTGCCTATGAGAATCATTAAGCAGATTGAAAGGGCTATGAGAGGCTTTTGGTGGTCTAGTTCTAAAGATAAGCATAAGATTCCTTGGGTAGCATGGAGGAAAATAACCAACCCAAAGAATGTTGGAGGACTGGCAATAAGGGATCTAAAAGATTTCAATGTTGCTTTACTTGCCAAACAGAGTTGGAGATTGCTTCAACAACCCTTCTCACTCATGGCAAGAGTCTTTAAAGCCAAATATTATCCCAAGCAAAATTTATTTGAAGCAAAAGTAAAAAGCCAGTCTAGCTACGCCTGGAAAAGTATTAGCCAAGGTACACAACTTCTTTCTTATGGCCTTAAGTATTTAGTAGGTAATGGTACAACAATTAATGTTTGGAGGGATCCATGGCTGCCATTAAACCCACATAGACCAGCTCGAGGTCCTGGACAGTATATGTATCCTCATATGAAAGTCGCTGATTTGTTGCAACATGGTACTTGGAATCAAGATCTCATTGACAAGCTTATTGACCAGGGTGATATTCAATTTATCAAAAATATTCGGCCTTCTGTTAAAGGTGCAAATGATATAATAAATTGGATTTACACCAAAGATGGTCTATGCAGTCAAGTCAGGGTACCAGCTCCGTCGTAAGTTATCTTCAGACAACTTGAGCTGTTCATCTTCTTTTTCTGATGACTCATCCAAAATCCTGTTTTCCAATATCTGGAAGATGAATGTTCCCCCAAAAATTAAGCATTTCTGGTAGCGATCCATTCATAACGCCTTGCCAACTGCAGATAACTTGCGAAAGAAGAGAGTGAATGCTGATGATACATGTCAGAGATGTGGAGAAGATATAGAGACTGTCAATCATCTCCTTTTCCACTATAGAGTCAGCAGAGAGATTTGGGAACACGCCCTTAACCAATCTGCTCCAGGTACATTCCTAATTCAGAATTCTTTGAGGAAGAATCTTGAATCATTACAGAGCTTAAGTAAAAACCAAAGAGAGGATGTAAGTTTCTTCTCTTTCCTTGGTTGGCGTATTTGGAAAATGAGAAATGATCTATATTTCAATAACAAGCAGTGGTCCATTCATGATACGATAAATAAAGCTCTGTTAGATTACCAACAATGGAAAGACACCCTCACAATTAATCAAGTGCCACCAGCGCAAGATACAACCCGAGACAAGCGCAGTCCTCAGAATCCATTACATATAAGGAATGTTTTTACTGACCTCAGACATCATGAGCATGATTATGTTTGTTTTGTAGATGGATCTTGGACTTCACCTACAGAAAAGGCAGGAATAGGCTGGGTACTCTACAATAAGAATGCCCAATTTATTCTCAATGGAAGGTCTGCAATTAATCCTATGGCTACATCGTTGGAAACTGAAGCTGAGGCGCTGAGAATGGCCATGATACATATACATAGACTGGGATATTAAAATGTTATGTTCTGTGGTGATGCGCTCAATTTATTTGCTCGACTACAACAACCAATGCTTCACCATTCTTATCAAGGACGAGAACATTCATCTTTGTCAACTCACGTGGTGGATATTATGGCTCTTGCTGCAAAATATGATCGTGTACGGTTTATCAAAATTCCTCGTGAACTTAATTCTGTTGCTAATCAATTAGCTAAGGATGCAAAAATTAGGAAATTAAACTTTGTAATATCATGGTGTGATGTAACTTAAGTTTTCAATATAATGACAAGCTAAGTTGACGACAAAACAAAAAAAAAAAAAAAAAAAAAAACCTTGTTGGGCCTCTTTCAAGTTGATGGGCTTGCAAGAAGATAGATAAGCTCTGTGCGATGCTCATCTCGAGATTTGATCTTTGCGGGATTATCATTGAATCCTCAGCTCGACTAGGCCTTATCTTCTATGTCAATGAGTTCGCACCGGGTCGGTTGTTACACAACAGCGTGTTATTATTGTTTGGCTTCGCCTGATTTGTAAGAATCCACCAAGGCACATAAACATTGAACAACAACTTCTCCATCATATTAAACAGAGGAGAAAAAAGAAGTAAAGAGATCTTTTCTCATGTTAATGTCTTTAACTCAACAACAGCATTGCTTCTTCAATGAGTTCATTGATCGTTGAGCCATGGCGTGCCAAACCAACTGTGCCAGAGAATATATCAAAGTTCTCAAGCTCAGCCGCGGTCTCGAAGATAGTCTCTAATTCATTCTTCATTTCAAGGTTTTGGAAAGTCTTGACCGTCTCAGGATTAGCTTTCATCATCGCAATGGTTAGCTCTATTGCGAACCTCCTAATTCTTGGAACCTTTGGAACTGGCTGTTCATATTTCTTGAGAATATTGATTAATGCATTGGCTAGTTCTTCCTCGCTTACTCCCGCTTCCTCGAATATCCCTCTCAGTTCTTCAGGAGTACTCATTAACTTGAGAATATGTGGTGCTAATCCCACCATAACTTCTTGAGGTTTTCGGTCTTCAGACTTGATTGCCATAAGAACCTGCAATGATAAGATAACGTTAGTGAATGACAATGATTCAAGAATCTAATCAATTTCTTCTGGATCAAGAACATGAGGACTTACTGTTGCTCCTGCAGATTTAATAATTTTCTTCATCTCTTCATTGAACTGACCAGGAGCTGTATATGCGCAGAGATTCCGCAAGATTCTTGCTGAATTCAACCGAATCAACGGGTTGTCTAAAGCCTCAACGAGTCCCTTAAGAACATTTGATCTCAAGATCCGTTGGCAATTGCTTTTACTTCCTTGAGCTAGCATAGCTATAGATTCACCAGCAGAGACTCTCACACCACTTTTATCCTTTGGAATCTCATTGTTCAAAAATATGCAGAGAAGTCCTTTCAAAACCCCGCCCGTGCCCCCAATTTTCTCGGTTGCACCTTCTTCAAACGCAAGGAAAGTCAAGATCTCTGCACCAAGCTTTTGCAAATCAGGTTGACTCTTCCCGTGGTGTAATGTTTCCCTAATGTTGCTCACTGTGAAGACAATCCCAGAGACAATCATCCTTAAGTTCTTCCCCGTTGCACCGGTCGTGCTAACCAGCTTCTTTAACAGCTTCAAAGACCGTTTCACAGCCAAGACCTTATAAGGCTCTGCAACCGCAACATTCGACTTTTCTAACAACCTCTTCTCAGCATAAGTGAAGTCAATGATCTTTGAAAGTAACCCTTTTGTTTTACCAATCTTCCCACAGTTATCATGATCTCGAGCTAGCCTTTTCAGAATCAACAGTCCAAGATTGTTCAACGTCCATAAATTTAATTGATTAATACTATTTTCTCCAATCTCATCCGTGGCTTCACCCGAATCTCTAGTGTTCTCTAAAAGAGAAGATATCGACTCAATCGCCCCCGGGATCCCCGCAACTCTCAGAGAATTCTGCTTCTTACTAGCTAATCTTGAGAGAATCTCTGCAGCTGACATTCTCACATCTTCTTGATTCTTGTTTCTCCAATTCAACATCTCCACTAACCTTTCTATGATTGCCAGATTTGTCCCAATCTTCTGCAAAGTATCAACCGAATAGTCGTCGTGGGTTGAGAATATCGAGAGAATCTCTGCTCCAATGAGCTGCTCATCAAGAGAATTCGTTACCAAGAGCTCCATGGCAAAAATCACCATATCCATCTTCAATCCGTCGAAGATGCTCCCATTGAGGCATCTTGAATAGGCATCATAGAAAAATCTTCTCACCGAGCCCGTGCCAAATCTCTCAAGACCGCATTCTTCATTTACTTTCTCAAGAATCTTGATAACACTAATCATATATTCCCAGTAAGCTTTCTCAACAAGAAACAGAAGAGCCTCGGCTAGGGCTAGAGAGTAGAAGAGAGTCAAAGCTGCGTGAAGATTGGTGCGTTTGGGTTTCGAGTCGTTGCCTCCATAGTCTTGCTTGATGAGTTGGATCGTGGAGATAGCAATGCTGGCGAAAGCAGAAGCAATCTGAAGCCAATAGAAGACTCTACTCACGTTTCTTGAAACAAAGACCCATCCAGTGTAAGGTAACATAGGAACATCTGAACTTTTCCATGTTCTTGTCCTCGTGATCTGCCCCGAATTTCTCTGTACAATCTTCCTTTCTCGAACCGGTGGTCTGTTGTCGTTCCCGGCAATGTGAGCCGCCTGGTGGAATATTTGGATAACGTGTTTTACAAGGAACCGGAAGATGTTGATTCCAGAGATTGTGTATTTAGACTGATGCTGCAGTTCAAGCTCATGGCTTCTACTGAAAAGCCGAGCTCCTTCGATAACAAGAATCACAGTAACAAACCAGAAATCTGTTATCTCTAAACTTCCAGCGAATCCACCAAGAAGAACAACCGTGGCCCACACGAAACCTAAAGATCCCAAGCGTGAAGCAATCTGTGATTAAGATTTAAGAACACATTTAAAACTCAAGAAAAATGACTCTTTAAATAATGAATGAAGAATGTTGGAATCTCAAAAACCTTCTCAAGAACAGCGAGTCTTAAGGCAAAAAGTGTCAGTTTTTTCTCCGGCGCAGGAACTGGCAATTGTGTTGGTCTCCGAGGTTCTGGAGTCGGAGTCTCGTCCGGTCGGAAAATAGTTCTGCCAGAAGAACCGACTTCTACGACGACATCGGTAGTACGGTCAACCATTTGAGACAAACAATAGAGAAACAAGTGTTCTGGTTTGGTTTTACGCAGATAATTTGATCTCTAAAACTCTTTTTTTATAATTAGGTTGGTGTCATTGTTTTGTTTCACCATGCACGTCTTAAGTTCTAGCCATTGACTTTTTGAAGACAAGGCGTCCAAACAACAACAATCTTGGACGCATTATATTATTCTGATGTCATTAGTTATCAATTACATAATAACATTTCGTAATCTATTTTATCAAGAAGAAAACAAAGCATTTCTTAATCTCGTGTATTTTTATTTTTTTTTGTAGTTTTAATGTATAAATTAAATTTGGATACTAAATAATCCTTGAAAGTTTTGTTGGCATATATAAATAGCATCAAACGTTTTAGGATCGATCAAATCGTTACTTGTGATGGTTGAGCTGGATATTCCTTCTAATCACAGAATCCTAATCATATCAGTATATTCATTTTCTTTTTCTCTAAAGTTCTCTAAAAATAATTGATTTATTAGTAAATGTAACATTCTAAGACATTTATATATGTCTTAATTCGAAGATTAAAGAGTGACTTATTTTGTTTTTGGAATAAAACTGCAAAGATTGTGACCCACGTCGATTGCAATCTGCAAATACATGACGATACATGTTCTGTCATCAATAGATGATTTAGTCAATTTTAAAATTAATAATTATTTGCAACTAAATAAATGTTGATCATGCAATAGCAATATCCTAGTGGCTAGTGATCAAGTTATAAATGGTTAATAATGGCCCCGGGAAAACGGCCATTTTCAACCCAAACTATTTGGGGGCGGGTTTTTCCAACCCAAACTAAGGCCTTCCGTCAATTTCTACCCAAACTCAAAACTAATTCAAATTCAAAACCTAAACTAATGAAAATTAGCCGATTTCAACACGACAGAAGACGGTGTTAGTTCGGGATTTAACGGCTGCTGAGTCAGCGATATCGTGGCATTGACGTGGCGGGAAAACGGCCATTTTCAACCCCAACTATTTGAGGGCGGGTTTTTCCAACCCAAACTATTTGGGGGCGGGAAAAAATAAAACGTCGTTTTCACTGACGTGGCTTCTGGTCAATGAAAACGACGACGTTTTATTTTTTTCCCCTTCAAACGACGAAACGACGTCGTTTTAATTTTGACGAAAATTTAAAATTAGGGTTCTTCATTTTCTCTCGAAACAGAAAAATGTTCGTCGATTTTATGAATTCACAGGCACTGTAAACGGAATCTGAAAGAAATGTAGCAATAGCAAGAAAAAGCAAAATTTGTTCCTGATGTGTCCGTCTAAAGATTTTGTCTTTCTTCCTGCAGAGGAATCATTGTACATACATTCTATCTGGAAACTTGTCTGAAATCAATTGTGTTTATAGTCTCGTGACCTGAATCATCATCACTACAATTCACAAAAATCTCAATCTGCATAACAATTCATGAACTCTAAAGCTATGGTACCACACTGCCATTCATTAAAATTTCAACTCGACACAAATGGAGACAATACCATATTGTTTTAGAAATCATACAACCCCAAGATCCATCACATGGTAAATAAATAGTTTTTCTCTCACGACCCAACTACAAGATTACATGAATATAGCAGCAGCTTGGGTTTTGAATTTAAATTAGTTTTGAGTTTGGGTAGAAATTGACGGGGGGTCTTAGTTTGGGTTGGAAAAACCCGCCCCCAAATAATTGGGGTTGAAAATGGCCGTTTTCCCATAATGGCCCCTTCCCTCCTCCTTTTTTAATTTCGAGAAAAACCTATTATTAATCATTTGTTTAATAAAATATGTATTCCGGAATTAACTTGTTACATATTGGAAGGACAATCTTATTACACCGTTTCAAATTAGCTCGAAGCTTTGTACATATGTAGAAAAGAAATACCATGTTGTAAGCAGAAAATGGAGCACATACACATACACAGTAAAAATAAATTACCAAATTCGTAAATTTTATATAAAGAATTTTCCAGGTGTCCTTAAAAAATAATTGGAGGAGTGTTATTCATTTTAATATAAATGCACAAATTTAATATAGAGGAGTGTTATTCATTTTAATGTAAAATTTTCAAAATGTGATTATTTAGATGATCAATATGTGATTTATTATTGTTATTGATTTTTTTGAAACTGAGAATTGAAGAAAAGAAGAGATATGAAATTTATGCAATCTGTTATTTATTTTCGAACAATGTGGTACGTTGAACCTTTATTAAATTTCGAACAATTGTTTCCTTGCGTTGTACGTTGGACCTTAATTAATTTTGTATGAGGCATATTAACAATAGCAATGACATATATGTTTGTTCCCAAAAAGTTTGCAATAACCTCCTCTTTCGCACTCTTCAACACAGAATTTCCAGCATTTCCCATCATTCTCAGCTTTATCATCGATGTTTGGAAGACACCTTCCAAGGCTCGGATGTTCTCTACAACATATCGACTTGTTTTCATATATCCACGGTGCGATGTGTTTTTGTCCATCTATTTGGTTGGATCCTAAATTTTATCAAAAAAATAGCATGTGATTATTAATTTCCTACATCGAAACTTTAAGAAAAAAATGGGTTAACGCTTTCATACTAATTACAAAAAAAAAAAAAAAAAAAAAAAACCATACCTATACATAGCACAATAGCCGCAAATAAAACCAAAGATACAACCTTTGTTCTTATCATCTTTCTCTTTTTTTCTTTGTTAAATCAAAGAATTACGAATTTTTGATACTTTTGTATTTGAATGAGAACGAATAAGGAGTTGTTTCGTATTTATAATTAGAATTATAACTATAATCAAGGGATCCTTTGAATTAACACTATCTGACTAAATAAATTAGTAATGAATACAATATATTTGGTCAACCTAATTATAAACATGTTTCCAAAAAGATTGGATTCCATCATTCCAACTTTGACTACATTATTACAAAGATATACATGACTTATTTAGATAAACGTATTTGGTAATTTGCAAGGTAAAGCAGACCAATATGGGCTCCGTTGATTGCGTTGTAGTAAGAAGATTCTTGTTCGAACTCTAACCAAAACTTACCTCGGTTTGGTTTAGGTTTGATTCGTTTTCAATTTGGCATGTGGTTGAATTGGTATATCCATAGACGTGGACTTTATATTTTTTGATAAACAAAGACTTGAACTTACAAACGTAAAATTTTTGTGTTCTTCTAAAAACCATTATCTAAATGATATTTATTTAAGTCCCTCAAGATTTTATAACCAAATAAGAATCCAAATTGACCTAAACCAAACCGATCATAAACACTTTGATATCATCCGGTTCGATTACAATACCAATTTGCTTCTACAAGTCTAGGAGAAAAGATACGTTATACAATTTGCTCATAACAGATCTTATTAGTAGTGAGATATTACAGCTTTTCCATTCTTTTTCGGGCCTGGATATGAATCCTGCAAAGTCTGAGCTGTTTTTTGGAGGGTACGATGACTCGGAAGCTGTTGTTCTCTCTGAGTTGGTTGGAGTTAGAATTGGTGCATTCCCATCTCGGTATCTCGGGCTACCACTGAACCCGACAAAGCTGTCTCTGGCCACCCTTCAGCCTATCATCCAGAAGATAACCAAAAAGCTCAACTCCTGGACAACAAAGTTTCTCTCTTATGCGGGAAAGATTCGCTTAATTGTCTCTGTTATCTATGGGAAAGTTAACTTCTGGAGTCAAGTCTTTGTCTTGCCAAAGGGGTTTTATAAGAAAATCGACTCTCTATGCTCTGCTTTTCTGTGGAAGAATGCAACTGACTCTGCAAGAGGGGTAAGAGTAGCTTGGAAAGACCTTTGTAAGACTAAAGAGGAAGGTGGCTTGGGGATTCGGTCTCTTGAGGAGTTTGCAATTGTGTTTAGATTGAAACAGGTTTGGCATCTTTTTACAAGAAGGGGCTCGCTGTGGGTTATGTGGTTGGACCACAACATTTTTGGAAGACGGAACTATTGGCTGATGGATAGTTCGTCTCGTCTTTCTTGGAACATTAGGAAGATGCTTGATGTAAAATCTACCTTCCAAACCTTGATTAAATGTCAGGTGCGTGACGGGTTGAAAGCCTCTTTCTGGTTTGATCCCTGGACAGATCTTGGTCCCCTAATTGAGCTATTCGGTCAGTTGGGTCCAAGAGAGCTTCGGATCAGTAGAGATATTAGACGAATATTAGATGTATATTCGATATCTTCTGAATTGTATATTTTCCATTCTAGATAAGTTCATATCTCCTTAGAATCAGGAAAGTCTAGGTTGTATAAATACTAAATCTAAGGGTTTGTGAAATAACAAGATCGTATATTCATCCTTCTAAAGTTTCTCATGGTATCAGAGCAAGAAACGATCTAATTTTTTTCCTTCGTTTTCTTTTGACCTAAATCAAGCTTGATCTCTTCTAAGCTTGATTCCTTTTATCATTATCAAAACTCTGTTCTCATTCACGAAAACAGAGGATTATTTTGGCATCCAGTCTTGATTTTATTCACAAAATCTTGACCTAATCTCTCTGTTTTTTTTTTTTTTTTTTTTTTCTTCTAAACGAAAAACAGAAGCATCCTTCATCATCATCTTCATCGACTTCATTATCATCTCCGTTTTGCTCATCTGTGAACCATGGCTCTTGCAAACGTCCCCACAGAACCAAAACGCAAAACCATCTCTCCTTATGACCTCTCATCAAACGACAATCCTGGCGCTATAATCTCTCAACCACTGCTCACTGGTACAAACTATGACGAATGGGCCATCAATTTCCGTATGGCACTCAGCTCGCGCAAGAAGTTTGGCTTCCTTGACGGAAGCATTCCAAAACCAGCAGCTAATTCTCCTGACCTCGAAGATTGGATCGCCAACAATCATCTATTGGTGGGTTGGATTAAACAAACAATCGACCCCAAGATACGCTCATCTATATCTACTCGTGAAATTGCTAAAGAACTTTGGGACATCATTAAGAAACGATTTTCAATCAAGAGTGGAGCAAGACTACAACAATTACGCAATTCATTGGCAACTTGCAAACAGAACGGATCCAGCATCGATGATTATTTTGGAAGACTAACCAAAATTTGGGATGCTATCTCTGAGTGTATGAACTCCAAACGCTGCAATTGTGGTAAGTGTGAATGTGATTTAAATACTGCTCATGACAAGGAACGTGAGACACTGCAAATTCACGATTTCCTCTCTGGCCTCGATGACGCTACACATGGTGTTATCCGATCCCAAATTTGCGCCATCTCACCTCTTCCAGATCTTGATAGTGTTTATCAAACTGTTGTTCAGAACGAAACAATTCGTTCAAGTATATCTCAAGAAACTACGGTGATGAGCTTTGCTTCTCGCATACCATCATCAAACTCTATGTCTCGGCCCGATTCTATTCGGACACAAGACGTGTCCCGTCAATCCATTGGAGGAACATCACGTCCTCCGAATCGTGATCCCTCACGTAAATGTACTGGCTGTGGTAAGATGGGTCATGAAGTCAGCGGCTGTTTCAAGATAGTAGGATATCCCGATTGGTGGGAAGAACGCAAGAACTCTCGCAGTGACAATCGAAATTCCTCTTTCGGTCGTGGTCATGGCTCATATCCTCAAGTTAATAGCACACAAGTCATTGGTGCTAACTCAGTTTGTCTCCCAGACATATCACCTATCTCCGACAAAGATCGTCAAGGTCTAAGTGGCATTACCGATGATCAATGGAGTATCATTAAACGAGTCGTCAATGAAAAGTCCAAATCGGATCAGTTAAGTGGTAAGAACAATTCGATATCTTGGATTCTAGATACTGGTGCCACCCACCACATGACTGGTCGGAGTGACATTCTTGAAGAAGTTCGTAACATTATTCCGGTTTGGGTCAAGTTACCAAACGGACGCGACTCTCTTGCCTCCAAACAAGGCAGCATTCGTCTCTCACAGAGACTTACTTTACACAATGTTTACCTCGTTGATGGATTTGATACTAATCTTATTTCTGTGGGACAGCTGGTCACTGAAAATTTTTTGGTTGGGCAAATCATTGATAAGCTCTTGATTTTGTAGGACCGTACTTCGAGGACGCTGATTGGAGTTAGTGAGCGAGTGGGAGAGGGGCTGTATCAATTTCAAGAGATCGCAACCGTGACATCTTTGCAAACAAGTGTTCGTGATGAATCTGTTTTGTGGCATCGACGATTGGGTCATCCATCTTCTCGTGTTGTTGGCATGGTTCCTGGAATTCATGCTGTTAGTAGTAGTAGTGAGCTTTTGTTTCAGAATTGTGATGTTTGCCTTAGAGCTAAACAAACATGTCAAAGTTTTCCTATCAGTTTGAATAATGCAAAATCCATTTTCGATTTGATACACTGTGATCTATGGGGTCCGTATCGCACTACCGCTTTATGTGGCTCACGCTATTTTCTAACTATCGTTGATGACTACTCTCGAGCGGTTTGGGTCTATCTTCTTCCTGACAAAGCCAACGTTGCACGACATCTTACAGATTTTGTGGCTCTTGTTGAAAGACAATTCTCCAAGAAAATCAAAACAATTCGCAGCGATAACGGAACGGAGTTGATGTTCTTATCGAATTTTTTTCGCACCAAGGGAATTATTCATGAGACATCTTGCGTTTACACACCACAACAAAATGGACGGGTGGAACGTAAACATCGCCATATCCTCAATATTGCTCGTGCTCTCCGTTTTCAAGCTGCTCTTCCGATTGAATATTGGGCTGAATGCGTTCTCACAGCCGTCTATCTCCTTAACCGTACTCCTTCACAGATCTTGAAGGGTCACACACCATATGAGCGACTATATGGTCGTTCCCCATCCCTCAATCATCTTCGAATTTTTGGATGCTTAGCTTATGCTCATAACACGAATCACAAAGGTGATAAATTCGCTTCTCGGAGTAGGAGATGCATTTTTCTTGGATATCCTTCTGGAAAGAAAGGATGGAAACTATACGACCTTGATGAAGAAGTCACATTCATATCACGTGATGTTGTGTTCTGTGAAGAAACGTTTCCTTTTACCATCAAAGATAATCTTCCCTCTTGCATTGAATCTCCTATCTCCACCGCAACCACGAGCTCCACTGATGATATAGACATCGTTTCACCTTCTGTACCAGTCCCTAATACACCACCAGAAATGTTACAACCGGTGTCTATGACAGAACCAACTCCAACACCAGACGAGTCACAGACTCCCGCTGTGGTTGCACCGGCTCTAGCTCGCGAAACAGCACACGAAGAAACCGTTGAGGACTCTGTTTCTCCATCATCTTCTCCGATTACACAACCAACACGGGCCGTGGTTGATACTAATGACACATCCACTACTGATCTTGATATTCCACATGATTCACTTGGCAAGGGAAAACGTCAAAAGTTTCCTTCTGTTAAGCTTCGTGACTACGTTGTTCAAACATCATCTCTCTCCACGCCCCCTCTCCCCGCTACTAACACGTCCTCTGATCAGTCGTCCTCAGGTACACCTTATCCCATCTCTAATTATGTTTCATGTGACAGATTTTCCTCTACTCACCGTGGCTATTTAGTCACGTTAACTACTAATATTGAGCCAACAAGTTTTATGGAAGCTATGAAACATTTTGTATGGAAGAAAGCTATGGGTTCTGAAGTTACTGCACTTGAACTTAACAAGACATGGGACTTAGTTGATCTTCCTCCTAATAAGAAAGCATTAGGTTGCAAATGGGTCTACCGTATCAAGCTTAACTCTGATGGGACTATCGAACGCTATAAAGCTCGTCTCGTCGTGCTAGGTAATCATCAAAAGGAGGGTTTGGATTATAAAGAAACGTTTGCTCCGGTAGCCAAGATGTCCACTGTCCGGTTATTTCTTGATATTGCTGCCAAACAGAATTACGAAGTGCATCAAATGGATGTTCACAACGCTTTTCTTCACGGTGATCTTCATGAAGAAGTTTACATGAAACTACCACCGGGATTCTCTACTCCAGGAGATACACGAGTTTGTAAATTGAAGAAATCTTTATATGGTCTCAAACAAGCACCTCGGTGTTGGTTCGCTAAACTGGCCGATGCGCTTGAAAAGTATGGATTTAAACAAACTCGGTCAGACTATTCTCTCTTCATTTACATGAAAAACGGCATCAATCTTCGAATTTTGGTTTATGTTGATGATCTCATTATTTCCGGCAACTCTCCCACGGCCATCCAATCCTTTAAAGATTATCTTAGTACTTGCTTTCACATGAAGGACCTCGGTTTTCTTAAGTATTTTCTCGGAATTGAAGTGGCTCGCAGTCCGCTTGGTTTTTATATCTGCCAACGAAAATATGCAACCGAAATTGTCACAGAAGCTGGTCTCCTTGGATGCAAACCGGCCGGTTCACCAATTGACCAGAAACACAGCTTGGCTCGTGCTAATGGTCCTTTTCTTGAAGATCCAGAAACCTATCGTCGCTTAATAGGTCGTCTTGTGTATCTTGGCAATACTCGGCCTGATCTCACCTACTCCATACACATTCTCTCTCAGTTCATGCGGGAACCGCGTGCAGACCATTGGCTCGCAGCCCTCAAAGTGGTTCGTTATTTGAAAGGGACTCTTGGTCAAGGAATCCTTTTAAAAGCTGACTCTCCTATGCATTTCACTGGTTGTTGCGACAGTGATCATGCAGCTTGTCCATTAACGCGACGATCTCTTTCAGGCCGGATTGTTCAATTCGGCGACTCTCTCATCTCGTGGAAGACCCAGAAACAGGACGTTGTTTCAAACTCCTCCGCCGAGGCAGAATATCGTTCTATGTCAGAACTCGCAAGGGAACTCAAATGGCTTAAAGCACTTCTCTCGGATTTTGGCATTGTTCATGACAAACCAATGACAGTGTTCTGCGACAATCAAGCGGCATTACACATAAGTTCAAATCCAGTCTTCCATGAAAGAACCAAGCATATCGAAAAAGATTGTCATCTTTTTCGTGACGAGATTGTTAAGGGTAACATTGACGCGTCTCACGTCTCCACGACAATTCAACTAGCTGATATACTTACTAAAGCATTGGGCAAAGCAGAGTTCGATGCATTTCTACTCAAGTTGGGCGTTCAAAACTTACACGCTCCAACGTGAAGGGGGGTATTAGACGAATATTAGATGTATATTCGATATCTTCTGAATTGTATATTTTCCATTCTAGATAAGTTCATATCTCCTTAGAATCAGGAAAGTCTAGGTTGTATAAATACTAAATCTAAGGGTTTGTGAAATAACAAGATCGTATATTCATCCTTCTAAAGTTTCTCAAGAGATGCAACTGTCTCGGAGGCTACACGTGAAGGTCATTGGTATTTTCCGAATGCTACATCTCTCCAAGTTGAGCAGCTGCAAGTTTGTTTGTCTTCTGTTGCCCTGCCGTCTCCCTCAAGAGGACCTGATTGGTATCAATGGAAGCAGCCCACAGGTACTTATACTGAAAAATTCTCTTCTGAAGGAACTTGGATGCAGATTAGACATATTTCTCCTCATGTCGCTTGGCACAAAGCTGTTTGGTTTAAGGAATCTGTCCCAAGGTTTTCATTTATCCATTGGTTAGCGTCTCATGAAAGGCTAACAACAAGAGATAGGCTTCTGCAATGGGGAATGAATGTCCCTGCTGCTTGTGTTCTTTGCACTTCTGGTCTTGACTCCCACGCTCACTTATTCTTCGAATGTGAGTTTTCAAGATCAGTTTGGACTTCGATAGCAGGAAAGATTTCGCAAAATCCTCCTATCTCCTTATCTTCGGCTTCTATGTGGGTTCTTGGGGTACAATCTTCACCGCCACACTATGCTAGTAAGATTTTAAAACTTCTGCTCCAAACTTCGGTCTATATGATTTGGAAGGAGCGAAACCGTAGAGTGTTCTCGGCTGAAACTTGTACACTCTCCGCTACGAAATCTCTTGTTGATCGCACAATTCGTAACCGTCTTATCTCCTTCTCGCCGGAGGATCCTTCAAGCACAATTTCTCTCCTTGGTTTTTACTTTGGATGTATTATTAGCCCATTATAGGTGTGGCATAGCTCATATGTTTGTGGTATGTTGTTCCATTAGTCTCTCTTTCTAAGAGCTTGGTGTGTTTTTGGGGTTTTCATTGTACAATGTAAACCTTTTTTCATTGGTATAAATTTTAACATTAAAAAAAAAAAAAAAAAAGAAAGAACAAAGATTAGTTTCAGCCACTACATTACATTAAACACAAACACGACTCTAATTTATCTCGAAAAGAAGCGCTTTATTTTCTCTAGAAGACCTGTGAAAAACAAACGACGATCTGATCATACTAACACATTTGAACACTTTTATCCTCAGATCTGAAATTCAAATCCTTAAATTTCTAGTTATTTTGAACAATGACTTTTTTTTTTCCTTTGTTAAAGATTTTGAACAATGACATATCTTGATGTGTATAATTAGAGGTGTCAGACGGACCGGCCCGCGTCCATCTGGGCCGGCCCGCGATGGGCATTTACATTTATGAGACCGCAGCGGGCTGGTCCGCTAGGACCGCGGGCAAAAATGATATGTCCAGGCCCGCCCCGCGGGCTTAGTTTTAATTATTTAAAAAATAATTAAAAAAATAAAAATAATTTTTTAAATATGAAATTAACAATTTTCAATTAAAAAAAACTTTTAGAATTAATTTTTTTGTAAATCTTATAATTTTATACATTAAATTTTGTTATATGTTCATATATTTCACATATATATTTTCAGAATTATGTAAAAATATTTATTTATTTATATTAATTATTTAATTTTATTAAATATTTGTAGTCCGCGGGCCGGCCCGCAAATCCGCGGACAAAACCCGCCAAAACCCGCAATCCGCCTGGGCTTGTCCGCGAGGCCCGCTATTTATGGACATGAAAAATGATGTCCAAGCCCGCCCCGCCGTGGGCTACTTGGACAAAGCCCGCGGGCTATCGGCCCGCTTGACACCTCTATGTATAATCAGGTAACTATATCAATCATAGATGCACCAATATTGGACGACGTGGATCAGAGATAGGGGTGGGCCGGATCCGGATATCCGGCTTTTTTAAGGTATCCGGATCCGGATCCGGCCGGATCCGTCTTTTCATTATCCAGATCCGGATCCGCTCCACCCGGATATCCGGATTTAGGATATCCGTAAAAATAACCGGATACCCGGCGGATATCCAGATCCAGTTTTTTTTATATAAATTCTTTTTTTATTAATATAAAATTAAAGAGAAATATTTAAAAACAAATAATTTAACATAAATAATTAAAAATATTATTAAAAGTATTATTATTATATAAAAGATAATAAAAAATTATTAATAAAATTTAAATAATAGTAATAAAATATTAAAAAAAATATTAATAAAATTTAAATAATAGTAATAAAATATTAAAAAATATTATTATAATATAAAATATCCCGGATCCGGATATCCGGCTTTAATTTTTCTATTATCCGGATCCGGATCCGGATCCGCTTTTTCATTATCCGGATCCGGATCCGCCCAACCCGGATATCCTGTTTTTCGGAGCGGATCCTGGATCGGATCCCGGATCCCGGATAATTGGTCTCACCCCTAATCAGAGATTCATAATCATGTCATTAAATTTCTTAAAATTTAAATGGAACAACAAATTAAATACATAAAGTTGGTGTTTTTCATTATTATACTATTTTTATGAAGTTTTCTAATTCTTTTTGTTTGTTTTTTTGTTTAGATGGTAAATATGCGATTCATTTTTTTTTTAATGCGATTCATTCTTGTTATAGATCTTTCAAATTTTGATACGGAAAAGAAGGGAGGAAACAGGAAATTTAGCACTCTGTTATTTATTTTAGACAATCGATTAAAATAATCTTTTTGTCTTATGCGTTTTATTTTAGACTTGTATAAGTTTTGGGGATGCTTACTTGTCTGCAGCATAACAATGACATATATGTTTCTTTCCAAAAAGTTTGCAAAAACCTCCGCTTTCGCACCATTCAATAATGCAAAATTTTCAGCATTTTCCATCGCTATTTCCGGATACCTGGAAGACATCTTCCGATTTCTGGATGTTCTCTATTACACGACGGCGGCTGCATACTATTTATCCATGGCGTAATGTTTTCTTTTCCATCGATCTTTTTGGATCCTACTTTTAACCTCCAAAAAATATGATTGTTAATTCATAAATTTTTATTTTTTTAAAACAATATAGTAGTACTAAACAGTAAAATAAAACATACCCACATATAGCATGAGAGCTGCAAATATAACCAAAGAGACAACAATGGTAAAATCAAAATACTACCAATTGTTTTAATCTCTTTTTTATTTGAATGAGGACAAAACAATGGAGTTGTTTCATATTTATAACTAAAACTATAGTCAAGTGCTCCTTTGAATGATTTACATAACATAGTAATGAATAAAAAAAAATTATTGGTTGGTCAACCAAATTAAAGGTATATCCAAAATAAATTGGATTCCAACTTTGATGATATTATTATTATCTTCATACCTTACTATAAAAAAGATTCATTTTCTTTAAGGTAAACTTTTTGTTACTTTGCAATAGGCCTGGGCATAATACCCGAACCCGAAGAACCGAACCGAACCCGACCCAAAAAATCTGATCCGAATCCGAACCCGAAGTTTTAAAATATCCGAACGGGTTCTAAACTTCACAACCCGAAAACCCGAACCCGACCCGAACTCGAACCCGAACAAGTACCCGAACATACCCAAAATATAAGTACATAGTTATAATATATTAGTAATATGTATACTTGTAATAGCCTAAGTGCCTAAATTATTCGGATGTTAAGATATTTTCGGATGTTTTAGCTACTTTGGGTTAGATATGAGTTAAAATACTTGGGTTTTATAGATTCTATACTAGTATAATCGCAGCACTTTTTGTGACGGGTGGGTAAAAAAGCTTTCGGGTATATCGGATATCCGACCCATTTTAAAAATTCTTTCACAAAAAATTTGTTGGGTCGGGTTATATTTAACCCAACTCATACACCGGATATTCCATATTTAATAATTTAGATTTTTAGAAGATTTGATTAAGATTTATAATTATGATTCTCCTATTATCTTTGTTTGATTTGTTTTTAACTGTTTTGAATCATCATATAATACATAAAGTAAAAAAAAAAATCAATTTTTTTTCTGCATATACTGTGATTCGAAATTTTAAAAACGGACATATATTATCCAATTGACGAAAATGTGTGTTCAACGTTCTACATCGATTAAAATATTTAGACAATGATTCAGAATCATATCATAAATAAGAACATTAATAAAATAAATGAGTTTTTTGGCGGGATGGGTTTGGCGGGACGGGTTTTTGAATCAACAATAATAAAAAGATTAAAATATCATTAATCCGCCGCTTCAATACGGATTTAATCCTTTTTTTTTTAATACAAATCACAGAACGGGTTAAGAAATTACGGAACGGGTTATATTTCGGAAATGATTTATATGGCGGACGAATTTGAATCAATATTTATATACCGCTTTAATACGGGTTAAATCCTCAGTTTATTAATAATTATCTCGTGGACTCGTGGTATACCGTTACTTAATAACAATTGTAAACTATAATATAAATAAATATGTTATAAGGAGATACAATTTACAAAATATTTTTATACTAACTTTAAAATTAAATCATCCCGCGGTGTACCGCGGGTTAAAATCTAGTTTTTTGAGTATTTTTCAATACTTTGCATAGAATCGGATACAAAATTTCTAATATTTGGATACTTCGGGTAAACCCGAATCCGAACCCGAAATACCTGATCCGAACCCGACCCGAACCCGAAGTTTTAAAATACCCGAACGGGTCTTAGTTTTCTAAACCCGAAAAACCCGACCCGAATATCCGAACGCCTAGGCCTACTTTGCAAGGTAAAGTAGACCAATATGCATTAGTACGGGTTGGCTATTTGTTTTTGTTTTGTTTGGGTTCGGTTTTGTAGTAAAGTTTTAGCTCAACTCTAACCAAATTCGGTTTGATTTGTGTTTAACACCAGTTTCAATTTTGTTGTTAGAATTGGTTTCCAAAGACATACGGTACAATTCCATTTTAAACCGAACCAAACCTTTTGATACGACCTGGTTCGATTTCGATTTCAATTTGTTTGATACAAAGCTCATAAACTGATGTTATTATAGAAAATAGAAGGAATATTCACAGAATTACAAGAACCAGAAAGATTAGTTTCAGCCATTGCATTACACTACTACATTAAAACACAAACGACTCTGTTTTATCTCGAAAGAAAAAGAGCTTTGTTTCTTCTAGAAGCTTCACCGTGGCTGATAAATCTGATGATTCCGGCGACAATTGAAGCTTGGGTTCATGTAGTTCCTCTTCTGATTATACTTCGGTGAACAAGAAGAAACCTTAGCTCTATAAATCTTCTCTTTCGTAGACTCCGCTATGTTCAAAAGCATCTTCAAATACTTAGCAACATCTGCTTCTGCCATCAAAAACAAAAATCCTCAGATCTAAAATTTCAAATCCCTAATTTTGAAACTGTAAATTAGTACCGGTAACTGTATCAGCCATAGATCCACCATCAGACGATGCGATCATCTCCTCGAACTCTTCTTCCATAACTGAGAAATCATCGCCGCCGACGAACTCATACTCCGAGTTAGCACTGAGCCAAAAGTCACGGAACCATTTCGATGTCGTTACCAGATCCCACCATTTCGGTGAAAAATCCTCCACCTCACGAAATCCCACCGGATCAAACACCGGCGCGTTCGGATTCAGTGTTGATAAACTCCGATCTACCATCGCCGTCATCTTCCACCTCAAATCACACTGCTACAAAGTCGAGAGATTTGATGTACCGAGTCAAACTGAGTCTTAGAGCGAGTTACATTCTCGAGTCACTTGGCACGTTTTTAAAGAAGAGAAAAGCGAGTGTAGCCGGTAATCCGGTTAAGAGTCACGGCCACGTGTGACGTAAAAGATGATGATCCGACGGTTATTAATGAGAAGTGCGTGATCTAACGGTGTTGATGTGCACAATAATTGGGATATACGTTCGTTAGTTACTGGATAAGATATTCTTTTTTCTTATTATTGTTTTTTGGATAAATGAAAGATATTTTTGTGTAGTAAGAAATTTCTAGAACGTAGAAGCCCAAAAGCCCATTAAGCTAAAGAAAATAAAAGCAATCGTAACATTGGTTCATGAAAAACTACGTTCGAAGTCTGTTTTTTTTTTTGTTTTTTTTGGGCAAAAATTCGAAGTCTGTTTTCTGTTTTTTTGGGCAAAAATGTTAGTATATTGAGTAGCTGGTTTTAGGAATGTTTTAGATTTTATGAATACATCATAAGTATGACAATAAAATATTAGGAATGATTTTTGATTTGGGAACAAATATTGAACAACAAATTCCATAATTTTTAACTTTGAGAAAAAGCAATAAGATTTAAAAGAGCTATTTATGGAATTTCTAAATATTCTCATTTATGTCTTGTACTTGCTGAGCAAGGATATTCTTTAGTATTAAAAGTTTGACACAGATACACAAGAGACGAAAACACACAAAGACTTTAGGGTTCAACAATGTCACAGCTTATAATCAGCCGAGTCTTCAAACCCTCTATCTCCAAAAACTTCCTCGTAAGCTTTTACGAGATAATTCATTTTTTCTTTAACTTCATCTTGTTCTTGTTGTCTCTGACTACTTGAAACATATATATGGCAGAGACACACAAACATCGTTCGTATGTTCTCATCTACAACTTCTCGCACAAGCGGGTTGGATTCGGATGAGACCGAGACTAAAGTGACTCGACCCTTCTCGTCTGAACCAGCCTACCCGTTTCTATTGATTGACTACATCACTAACATCCCAAACTCTACTCCGGATGGTCGCGTATTAATATACGACGATTCCTCAAAGGGAAAGGCAAAACAAGTCGCTATTCAGGACGAGAAACTCGAAGAGGAGGTCATTGATGCAATGACTGTCGGATTTTCACGTGATGGATTAGGATTCGATATTTCACCGTACAACGATAAACCTGTCATCTCTTATGAACCATCCAACCCTAAACTAGAAGACATGACCGTTCATTTACCTTCTCTACCTACCGGTAAAAAAATCCAAAACCTGGCCATGTCCTCTTTACCTGTCCGAGATAAAGATTGGGTCGTGGGTGTCAAGTTATCGGGATATGGGTTGAGTCTCTGCAGGCCTTTTGGAAACTCTAAATGGATCAACATCAACACCATGTCTCAGTGTATAAACCCTTTATCGAGCCTCATGTTTTCCAAGACAGATCAAAGGTTTTACATTCCAAGTCTCGGAGGCAACTTCTTGTGCTACTTGGGTCTCAACTCTAAGGAGAATGACGAGCCCAAGTCCATCGACTTGGAATTTGACAAACTTCCAAAGTCTGTGTTTCAGGAGTTGGCGGACGTGAGTTCATGTTCCAGGACAGACCACCTTGTGGAGTCACCCACCGGCCAACTTTTCCTCGTCAAGTGGTATAGTATCTAATTAATTAACTAGACACCTTTTGTTTCTTGATTTCGTTGGTGGGTTTTTGGCTTGAGTGGTTCTATCATGTCTTTTCAGGTACGTCGAGGACGTGGAGGACCATGAAGACGATACACTCATGCACGTAACAAAAAAGTTCATGGTGTTTAGAGCAAGTGAGTCTTCTGACGAATATGAGAAGACAATGATCTACACAGAAGACATTGGAGATCTTTGCATTTTTCTTGGACATAGTGAGCCTTTCTGCATCCCGGCTAGTACGTCCCGTGGACTCAAGCCTAACTGCATCTATTTTGTTGGGGATAACTTTGGTGTTTATGATCTAACCACCGAAACTTGCTCTACCTTCTACACTGGTTTAAGGCCAGTGAAGAACGTGAGTTTCCCTTACTGGCCTCCTCCAACCCCTCTCTATTAGCTCCTTATTAATTCACATGGCTCTTTCACGTGTGTTTGCTTTAATTTCCCATGCTATCATTGAAATCCTATGTGTCTCTTTCTATATATATTTTTCTTCGATTGCAATATATGTGTTTCTTCGATTTCAATTTTTTTTATCTTTCCGATTTGCCACTGCATACGGGTACGAGAGAGATATTATTGAAAGCCTAGAAGGCTAGAAACAAAAGCAGTGGTTTTAACTTTAAACTTGAAAGGAAAAAAAAAACGAAAGCAGTATTTTCTAATTAATCTAGTGTTTGTGAATTCCTTAAGATAGATCTCTATATTTTCATTGATAGAATTGTGTTATTTAGTACACCAAAACTGAAGACCCTCGCGATGTCTTGGAGGAAAAAATTTCAAAAATCTTCAAAGAGAAAGATATCAAAGGAAAAATCAAAATGAATTGAGATTGTTTTGCTAAAAAAAAAATTAACAATAAATCGAGATATATTTTACCGAAATTCTAATAAAGAGACGTAACCGTCATAAGCATTTATTAAGATTTATATTATTATTAGGAAAAAAATATGGTGAAATAATGCGATCATAAGTAAAAAAAATATTAGACGAAGAGATCTAATTAGTAGACGCAATTTTTCAATTTTTAAAATAATTATAAATATAACTATATTCAACAAAATATTATGATCAAAATTATACAAAAATTTACAACGTAATTTTGTTTTCTTATTTAAAAGTTTATTAAGTAAATAATTAGATGAAATTAATTGAAAGAATGGGTCGTTTGATGATCTCCATAGTAGGAACTAGGAAGCAGTTTTATTTCATAGAACTGATGAAAATGCTCGTTATGAAGTTATAAACTTGTTTATCCGTTTGCGTTTTGTATCAAATTCCTAATGATATGATGATATCTCTATATATTTTATTTTTTATTACTTGTAACCAGTGTTCAAGAAAGCGCTAGGCGCTAAGTGGGCGGTGATCCAATGCCTAGCGCCTAGAACGTCTAATCGGGGCCTAGATGATTTTTTAGACGTTTATAACATAAAATATTATAAATATGATATTATATATAAAAGTTATATAAAATATCTATATAAAACTAAAAATTATGAAATTATAAACAAAAATTAGATAAAACATTTATTTATATTTATATTAAACAATATATGAATATTTATAACTATATATATAAATAAAACTCTAATTAAAATTAAAAAAATACATTAAACAAGATCTGTGTAATTTTAGGCGGTCAAAGCGGTTATCTAGACGTCGCATAAGAGCCTAGCGCCTAGTCGGGGCCTAGGCGACCGCCTAGACCGCTTTTTAGAACACTGCTTGTAACAAAACAGGATAATAAGTATGCCGTGATTTTAGGAATGATTGTAGATTTTCTGAATTAAACAATATAACGTACGCCAAGAAAATATTAGAAATGGATTTAGATTTTATTTGGGAACAAATATTGAACAACAACAAAATCCGTGATTTTTACTTCCAGAAAAACAAAATGATCATCGGATTTGTTTTTTCTTTCGACAATAAAGAGCTATTTATGTGACTTTTTTTTTTTTGATAAAAGGCTTGCAACTATTTATGTGACTTGGCTGATAAATTCTAAATATTCTCTAAATATGTTAATATTTATCTTGTACTAGTACTTGGTGAGCACGTATAAATATAATCTCAGTATTTAAGTCCTAACAAACAGATTCAGGAGACGAAACACACAAAGAAGGGATTCAACAATGGCACATATAATCAGCCGAGTCTTTAAACCATCTGTCTGCAAGAACTTACTCGTAAGCTTCTCTTAACTATGTATAATAACTCAGTTTTTCTTTAACTTTTTGTTCTTGGATGTCTCTGACTAACTTAAACATATATATGGCAGCGACACACAAATGTTCGTATGTTCTCATCTACAACTCCTCACACGAGCGGGTTAGATTCGAATGATGAGACTAAAGTGACTCGGCCCTTCTCGTCTAAACCAGCCTATCCGTTTCTGTTGATTGACTACATCCTTAAAGGCCCAGACTCTTGTTCAGATGGTCGCGTAACAACATACAATGGAAAAGAAGTCTTTATTAACGACAAGAAACTCATGGAGGAGGTTTGTGATGCGATGACTGTCGGATTTTCACGTGATGGATTACGATTCTATCTTTCGTACAGAAGCTGCGACCATGCACCCGTGATCAATTATGAGACCTCCAACCCCAAAGTAGAAGACATGACCGTTCATCTACCTTCTTTACCGGCCGGTTCCAAAATCCAAAACATGGCCATGTCCTCTTTACCTGTCCGAGATAAAGATTGGGTCGTGGGTGTCAAGTTATCGGGATATGGGTTGAGTCTCTGCAGGCCTTTTGGAAACTCTAAATGGATCAACATAAACACCATGTCTCAGTGTATAAACCCTTTATCGAGCCTCATGTTCTCCAAGACAGATCAAAGATTCTACATTCCAAGTCTCGGAGGCAACTTCTTGTGCTACTTGGATCTCAACTCTAAGGAGGATGACGAGCCCAAGTACATCGACTTGGAATTCGACAATCTTCCAAAGTCGGTGATTCATGAGTTGGCGGACGTGAGTTCATGTTCCAGGACAGACCACCTTGTGGAGTCACCCACCGGCCAACTTTTCCTTGTCAAGTGGTATAGTATCTTATTAACTAGACATCTTTTGTTTTTATAACATACATATAAATCTCTTTATTTCCTTGGTGTGTACCATATTTTGGCTTGAGTATCGTATTGGCTCTATCATGTCTTTGTAGGTACGGTGAAGACTTGGATGACATAATGTCACTGATGCGCGTAACCAAAAGGTTCATGGTGTATAGAGAAAATGAGGAATCTGATGACTTAGAGAAGACAATGATTTACACAGAAGACATTGGAGATCTTTGCATTTTTGTTGGACATAGTGAGGCTTTCTGTGTCCCGGCTAGTTCGTCTCCTGGACTCAAGCCTAACTCCATCTATTTTGTTGGCGATAACTTTGGTGTTTACGATCTCACCACCAAAACTTGCACTACCTTCTACTACACAGTAGATGAAGTTCCATTAAGAAAGTTGGACTTCCCTTACTGGCCTCCTCCAATTCCTCTCTACTAGCTCCTAATTAATTAAAATGGCTTTTGCATGTGTATTTACTTTCCCATGCTATTATTGAAATCCTATGTGTCTTTTTCAATAATTGTTGTTCTTCGATTCTATCAAATAATTCGTATATGTTAACCTTTAAATTTCATACACTCCTTTAGTGTGTGAGGTATATGGAGTGAAACCGAGAAACCTCACTGATGTGAGGATTTGAACAATAAAGTGAATTGAATGACTCATGAAAACTTAGGGTTTCATCTAAAGGTATAAAACCAGGACAAATATCATACTCAAACTCGAATATTTTGGTACGGAAGGAGACAGAGATACAGGCCTATAATGAAGGTGCTTCTTTGTGGAATTGAGGAGCATAGGATGGGATATATTAAAAAAATTGAGCCTCGCTACCAAACTTAATTTCTCTATAAAACTGAGCTATTCAAAGTTTATCTATAACCGTTGTTAAGAACAAAAAATCTTGTAAAGCATTTCAAAGTAAAAATCTCACTAGAATATGAATTTGTAAATTTGCTTGTGTCCCCATTTCAATTTCCTTGTTTGGTTTGCATACGGGTGCGACAGAAAGATTATTGAAAGCCGAGAAGCAATAGCAGTAGTTTTAAAAGAAATTTTCATGTTTAGTAAGAATATGAGTTTTTCTCTCACCATTTGACAAAGTCAAGTTAGGTTTTCACAATTTAGCCATTTAGGTTTTTTCCAACTAAAATGCCCTCAACCATAAATTATTTTTGTTCAGTTACGTTTATACTTCTATTTTCTTTGTCTCATTATGTGTAAAAAAAGAATTATTGAAAAAAACATAAGAAGAAGAAGAAAAAGAAATCGAAAATCTCAACTTTTCCATCTTCAAAAATCTCAATGATAATCGTTTTCTTAAGATCTGAATAATCTTTCATTAATTTTCAATTGTGAGTTTTTGAGTCGAGTAAGTAGAAACATATTACATATTTCCAGTGACGAGCAAAAGCCAACAAATTTCTGGAGAGAAATTGATTTTGCTTCATTATCAAAGAGAGAGATTAGAGTTAAATAGATTAAGAGATTTCCAGCAAGTTGGAAAAAATGATAGAAAATGGTTAGAAAACAATTGTTCTTCCGACGTAATTGACTTAACATAACTATCAGACAATTAAACAAAACTCAAACTCTTTAGCTTTTAAAACTCAAAATATGCTAGTTTTACAAGATTTGTATGTAAAAAAAAAATATTGTACTTTAATTACGTACATGTGAAGTAGTATTCTGTGATAAATATCAATGGCGGCTGCAAATTTAGGGTTGCAGAAGATGACTGCATAATTACAATTATACCCTTCAGCGAATTTCTTTTGTGTACGTATATATAATTTACGGTGTACGCATCATTGATTATGTGGACGTGTAAATATTGTACTTTAATTACGTACATGTGAAGTAGTATACGTACATGTGTCGAATAATCAACTTTAAATACGTAAACCAATGATGCTTTTTAAATCACGTACACGTTAATTAGTATACGTACACGTTTCTAATAATCAACTGAATTTTCATGCTAGCTCCATAGTAAATTGAGTGTCACCAACATTCCTGACATATCCTATCCCATATTTTTCAACAAAAAACCAGTCCACTTGTTATAATGTAATTTTCTCCATTGCCTTTACTACTATTTATAGTCGTCATCTTTATCGTCCTCTTTCTTCTCTTCGTCATCCTCATCTTCTTTCTTTTCATCCTCTTTATCGCCCTCTATTTCTTCTTTCTCATCTACTTCCTCATTGTTTTCACCTCCGACCCATAGTTAGTTTCATCAGCAAGGTAATCCATCATGCATACACTATTCACACTTTCCTTAACGGGTTGGAAAAAATGACACAATTTACACTTAGATCCCTACTATGAATAAAAAGAATGTTCTAAGCTCATTTGTATGTGATAATTTTACTTATCTCATGGCAAGACCCCACACATGTTGGTAATAACACCATTCTCTCCGTCATGATCACTACCTCGTTTCTCACGTACACAGTATTACATGTTTCCGTACATAGTCTCTAATCGATGTACTTGTGTACGTTAACTTTCCAAATATGCATGTGTATGCACCTATTTACGCTAGTACATTATCTCAACAATGATATTTGTGTCGTTCTTAACATACATAGTCATCATGATAATTCGAACTAGCCCTAAGCTTTCAGATATTTGGTTTAGTTTCCATGGGACTCATTTGGTACCGGGTATTTCAAGTAGAGGGATTTCTCTCCAAAAGTAGTCTTCCCATATTGTACTATTTTACTTCTGTCTTATCAGTTAGACATTGGTTAAATTATCGAAGAAAAGAGAAAAATCATCATCGAATCTCTTCGGCTTAGTGCTTAACATTATAGAAAAACCATTATACACTGCGTAAGACTCATTCACATTCACTAAACTGTACTTTGAGTCAAGTAACATCCCCTTTGATGATCCTCCGATACCAAACTCCACACCATTACCATGCACTTCACCTCTACCATGTCCATATGTATTCATGTACGTTAAATATTCACCTTCATATAATGTCTCATGTACATAGTAAATAGTGTACTTACAATCTTTGAAATTATATCTTACCTCCCAGTTAGGACTAAAAGATGGTTGAATGTCACCATCTTTTTAAAATCATCGATGTTTTTTCTTTCACATACATGTTCATTAGTGTACATACACGTTTCTAGTATATGATATTAATATGAATTGTCCTATTAGTTTCATAGTCGGATGAGTGTGACCATTTTCTCCGACATGTCCTATTGCATATTTATCAATAACAAAATCAGTCTACTTGTTATAATCGCAATCTTCATCATTACCGTCTATAGTCGGTTCTAAGACATTATTCTCGTTCACTTGATTCATTGTTTTCCTCGTCATCTTCAACGACATTTTCGTCGTCCTCGTCATCCTCATCCTCCTCTTTGTCGTCATTTTATCATTCTCTTCAACATCTTTATTGTCATCTACTTTTTCTTCCTCGTCTACGTCCTTATTGATTTTTTCAACATTTGGAGCCTCCGGTATGGTTTTTGTTGTGTTTTCACCTCTGACCAATGGTTAGTTTCATCAACTTGGCTTTCTATCATGCACACACTATTCACACTTTTCTCGATGTGTTAGATAAAACGACACAAATACATTTACACTTGAATCCCCACTAAGAATAAAATAAAATGTATCCAACCTCATTTAATTTTTAATGTAGACATAAGGGCGTTTATGTTCAATCATTATCGACATTATTACCAGTTTCCAAAAATTAATTTTTGGATTAGATTTAGTAGACTTCAAGCTAAACACCACACATAAGGTACACGTCTGTGTACGTCATTTTCTTTAACACGTACATACTACTTCTTTCTCAACTAAAAATTTTCCTTTTTCTTCTTATGTACATCTACACTCACCAATAACAAAAAAATACATGAATTTCCATTAAACACTTGAATCATAAATTCATGAAAAACGCATACATTATCATTTATATTATTATTTAAATATGTACGTACATAAGCAAAATTATTTCCGTGTACATACTTACATACATGATAAATAATATATTCATCTGAAATCGTTTCTAAATATAAGATTCAAAAAAATATATATAATTCAGATTTAAAAAAAAATTAGAATATGGATCTTAAAAGATAGACAAAAAATAAATTATAATTCAAAATACAAAAATATAAATGAATTAAAAAAGTGAAAACAATGAAAATGTGAAAGCAAAGAAAAGGTGGAAAAGAATAAGAAGTTTTTTAGTAATTAAATCTTCTCTGACAGCATATTTTTAACTTTTTTATTCTTCTTTATACTGTGGAGTCGTCGAAAACCAATCAAAAACACGGGTACTATAGCTAACGAAACACTGTACATAATTATAACATTTAACTAATTCGTACACAGACACTGTACACTCTAGTTATGTTAGCAGGGGCATTTTTGTCATAAAATGACCAAATGACTAAAACATGGAAGCTCTTCTTGACTTTGCCAAATTATGAAAGAAAAACATAGTCAATTGTCCTGTCCTGAAAATTACCCTAGTTTTAAAAGAAAAAAAAGTACTAGTCTCTTGTGTTTGTGTAGTCCTTGTTTTTTTTTTTAATTACCAAATTAGAGTGGGAAAAGAATATAAAAACTAAGATCTATAAAAATAGAATTGGGTTATACAGTACATTAGTCAAAAGCAAAAGTAAATCCCAAAAAATGTACAATATCTCAAAAAATGGAAATATATCCAACAAAAACAAAAAACGAAAAGGAGTTTCCTTTTTTTTTTGGTTTGTGCGTTGAACAAAATTGGAACAGGAAAAGGAACAAAATCTTATGAGTCCTCTCTATAAATAAATAAACAGAAGCAAAGGTAAACACAAACTCTCCAATCCGTCTTTTAGGTTTCCCACAAATTATTTTTTCTCTCGCTCTCGATCGCTCTCGTTCTCTCTCAGACAAAACAGCAAACAATGGAGAGTGCAACGAGTGCTAACCAACTACAACTGATCTCATCTTTCCTCGACATCACCGTTGGCCAAAGTGTAGAAATCGCTCTTCAGTTCCTTAAGGCAACAAACTGGCACCTTGAAGATGCCATCAACCTCTTTCTCATCGCTAGGAGAAACCCTAATCCAGAACAAGTCCCTCTTCCTTTACCTTCGATGATGGATACTCTCTACGACTCTTCCATGCGTCACAACACTTCGGTCGCCGTATCTCCTGAAGATATCTGGGACTCGACATCTGAGGAGTCCGAATCCTATTCAAGGTTGTCTTCCTTGTACCGTCCTCCTCCAAGTCTGTTTTTCCATGGTTCGTTTGAAGATGCGAAAGCAACTTCCTCTAGAGAGGATCTATGGTTGCTTGTTAACCTCCAGTCCACGACCGAGTTTGCTTCTCACTTACTTAACCGAGATTTATGGCCAAACGACGCTGTGTTTCAAGCCATCAGGTCCAGCTTCATCTTGTGGCAGGTCTATGATCATACCAACGAAGGTCAGAAGATATCTACTTTTTACAAGATCGACTTTGCTCCTCCTGTGGTTCTCCTCATCGATCCCGTCACTGGCCAGAAGATGCGTATGTGGAGCGGTATGATTGAACCTCAGGGTTTTCTTGAGGATTTGATGAAGTACATGGATGCTGGTCCTCACGAACATGTTGCTTCTCTAAGCAACAAACGTATCAAAACAGAGAAGATTTCCTTTCCAAGCAACAACGCTGATGATCAAGTAGACATGGCGACTTTCTGGGGTGATGATATTGAAGAAGAAAAGACTGTAGCCAAAGATGAAAAGGAGGAGAATCTCGTTGTGGCTCCTTCTTGGGGGCAAGAATTTGAAGATATAAAGACTTTATCCGACCATGAGGAGGAAACTTGTTTGTCAAGCGACCTGTTTGAGTTCCCGGTTTTGACAGAAGAGCCAAAAGAAGACTGTGATAGAAGCATTGTGTGCAGTTTGTGCGTTCGATTTCCAGATGGAAGAAGAAAGCAGAGGAAGTTTCTCAAGAGCGAACCAATACAACTTCTCTGGTCTTTCTGTTATTCTCACATGGAGGAATCCGAGAAGAAGGCGTTCAGGCTTGTGCAGGCGATTCCTGGTGCTTCCAAGACTCTGGATTATGGAGCTAATGTCACGTTTGATCACTCTGGGCTTGCTAATTCGATGATTTCGGTTACTTGGGAGTGAAGTTTTCAACATGTTGTTTCTTCTTATATCTTCTTGAAGCAATTATGAAGAAACCCTTAAATTCTTGAAATTAATTATAGACTTTTGTTTCGTTTGTCAATTGGAATATTAAGTTCAAATATACAATTCTCACAACACAACATAGATTACCCTGATCCTCTTCACTGTTACTAACATATTTTTCATATGTGAGCTCTGATGAATATTAAAAAGGAAGATTGTTCTCTAAAAGTCTCCAAGTCGACAGTTGCGACGTTTTACTAATTTAAAGTGTAAACACAAAAATTTGAAAGCGAATGGATATTTTACAATTTCTTAGGAAATGTGTATATATAATAATACACCAAGTGTATATATTTGAAAAACACATATTTTGACGTACAATACGGTGTGGATGGAGTTGAGGTATGAGAGGGGGCTTCAAGACTGGTTTGGTTCAAGACAAAACATAGGATAATTTCTTTGGTTTTGAGTTTAAAAATATTATGCATTAAGGGCTTGATTGGTTCTCCCGCTAGCACTCTCTTAGCGGTTGCTAGCGGTCGGTTACGGTTGCTAGCGGTCGGTTACGGTTGTTAGCGGTTACTACCAATCATAGAAACCGTTCCGTACCACTTCGAACCGCTCGAAATCACTGAATTTCAAAAGCTCCTTCCCGCAAGCATTTGCGGTTGCGGGCGGTAGCGGTTGGATTTAAAAAAAAATAAAAAATCAAAGGTTTACTTATAATTATTATAATATACTAGATTTTAACCCGCGGTGTACCGCGGGATGATTTAATTTTAAAGTTAGTATAAAAATATTTTGTAAACTGTATCTCCTTATAACATATTTATTTATATTATAGTTTACAATTGTTATTAAGTAACGGTATACCACGAGTCCACGAGATAATTATTAATATACTGAGGATTTAACTCGTATTAAAGCGGTATATAAATATTGATTCAAATTCGTCCGCCATATAAATCATTTCCGAAATACAATCCGTTCCGTAATTTCTTAACCCGTCCTGTAATTTGTATTAAAACAAATAAGGATTAAATCCGCATTGAAGCGGCGGATTAATGATATTTTAATCTTTTTATTATTGTTGATTCAAAAACCCGTCCCGCCAAACCCATCCCGCCAAAAAACTCATTTATTTTATTAATGTTCTTATTTATGATATGATTCTGAATCATTGTCTAAATATTTTAATCGATGTAGAACGTTGAACACACATTTTCGTTAATTGGATAATATATGTCCGTTTTTAAAATTTCGAATCACAGTATATGCAGAAAAAAAATTGATATTTTTTTTTACTTTATGTATTATATGATGATTCAAAACAGTTAAAAACAAATCAAACAAAGATGATAGGAGAATCATAATTATAAATCTTAATCAAATCTTCTAAAAATCTAAATTATTAAATATGGAATATCCGGTGTATGAGTTGGATTAAATATAACCCGACCCAACAAATTTTTTGTGAAGGAATTTTTAAAATGGGTCGGATATCTGATATACCAGAAAGCTTTTTTACCCACCCGTCACAAAAAGTGCTGCAATTATACTAGTATAGATATTAATCCTATATATATTTTCATCTTTATATCACGTTCTCATCAGAAACCCTAATCAATATTCTGAAACCCTATTCTCTCAATGTCTTCCACCCAAACTGATGAAAATCAAGAACCAAACGTAAGTATCATATATCATTTTATTCATTCATCACCTTATGTGTAACTCTTTGAATATTTTTCATGGCATCGTTTTTTTCTTTTTATTATGTATTGCTTCGCTTTTTGATTGAATATATGTTTCGATTTGTTTTCTCGAGTAGAAACTCACTTGCTTTTTGATTGAATTCAACGTTATTTACAGTTTGTCCCATTACTTGATGCAATTTTTGAGGTTAAACCAGATGCATAAAGTACTATCTTGTTACAAAATTTCTTTATTTTTGAATAATTATTTAGTACTTTATTTATGGTTATAATTATTAAGCATGTTCAATTTTTCTAATATTATCATAATAATATATTACTGTTTTTTTTTGTAAATTTTTATTTATTTGGTCATTTTTTATTTAACTGCTACCGCAGCAGTTGGTTTACCAGTCATAAAACTCCCGCAAACGCATCTATTTTCAAACGTTAAACCAGTCGTTCAAAACGCTTGGTAACGCTTGAAGCCACAACCGCCCGCTTCCACAAACTCCTGCAACCGCAACCGTAACCACTGCGTTTAAACCACTCAGGTCTTAAGTTGTAATTTGTAAACAAGTTGATTTTTCTTTTGGATATAATTTAATATTAAATTCAAAAAAAAAGGGTGATAAATCCTGTTAAAAGTGAGTAGAATTCAAATCTTTTCTGAAATTTTATGGTTTCGAAAGATATTTGGCTAATCCAAGGTATCAAATATGTCGATAGATGCATGAAAGACCAACTACTTTTACATTTCACAAAATATAGAAATTAATCCAAATATTTTAAGATGATATCACAGCCATAACGTATACAACGTGAGATGTGGTGGATAAAACGCCGGGTGGCTAGTGGCTACCTAAAACTCTTTCATGTAGCTTTAAATGTTTCATATCTAGAGTAGAAATTAGCTGTTTTACCTATACAGTTTATCAAAAGTAAATATAAAGTACAAAACCCTAAAAAAAATTAAAAAAACATTTTTACCAAAAAATTTTAAAAAATATTTATAAAACAAAAACTGAAAAAGTTTTTTATAAATATATAGAAGCAAAGGCGTAATTAAAGAGCATTAATTAAACTCTTACAAATTCTTCACTTCTTCTTCTAGGGTTCCCACAATTAAAGTCTTGTTTCTCAAGACAGCAAACAATGGAGAATGAAACGAGTGACCAACAGAGACAACTGATCTCAGCTTTTCTCGAGATCAATGTTAGTCAAACAGTGGAAATCGCAATACAGTTCCTTAAGGCAACAAACTGGGAGCTCGATGAAGCCATTAACCTCTTTCACATCCAAAGAATAAATCAACCTTTGCCCTATAAGGATACTCTTTATGATTCTTCCATGTATCACACTTCTTCGGTCGCAGTATGTCCTAATGATATCTGGGACTCCGGTTCTAGATTATCTTCCTTGTATCGTCCTCCTCTAAATTTGCTTTTCAATGGTTCGTTTGAAGATGCGAAATCAACTTCCTCTAGAGAAGATTTATGGTTACTTGTCAACCTCCAATCCACGACAGAGTTTGCTTCTCACACACTTAACCGAGATTTATGGTCAAACGATGTTGTTTCTCATGCCATCGAGTCAAGATTCATCTTATGGCAGGTCTATGATCATACCAACGAAGGACAAAAGATATCTACTTGATACGAGATCGACACTGCTCCTCCTGTGGTGCTCCTCATTGATCCCATCACTGGCCAGAAGATGCGTACGTGGAGCGGTATGATTTAAGCTCATTATTTTCTCGAGGATTTGATGATTTATATTGATGCTGGTCCTTGCCAACAAATTGCTTCTATGACAAGCAACCACGTTGATCAAGATAAGGCTAGTTTATGTTGTTCCTTCGGATAGCTTTTTGAGCTAGTTTCAGGATTTTGTTTTGAACATTAAATTGTTGTTGAAAATATCGATCTCCTGTCAATTACTTTATTTTTAACTAAGGGGTGTTATTGGTTTATTAATTTGTAAATCCATATAGAATTTAAAATTTTTTATTAATTATGAAATCAAGATATATGGATTTTGAAATAACATGTGTTTACCCATGGATTTGAATCCTTCTATTTTTCTCTTTCAATTCCATTCAAATCTATTTAAAACATAATTTGGATTCTCAAATCCAAAAACAAATGAGTAAACGAATAACAAAGGATTTTAACTAGTATTTATAATTCATAGAACCAATAACACATGATTTTAATTAGGATTTTAAAATCAATGATTGAATAACAAATGATTTTTGTTTGAATTTCTATTCCTTATAAATCCATGAACCAATAACCCCTCCTAAATTAATTTCGTTGATAAGGTGTTTTAATTTAGATTGACCGACTCTGGTTAAGATAGATGGAAAAGAATTTATGGAAACTATTTAAATATCAAAAATAGCCTAATTTATGTTTGGGATTTTCATTTTTTTTTCAAATTCAGCTATATATGGATTTTTCAGTGTAGAAAAGTTGTTTTGTATGTGTTTCATATATAGGTGAAGCCGCTCTTTAGCAAACACATTATTGAATAGAGTTGTTAGTAGACTTGAATAGCTGGAGTTATTAACTTATTAGTGACAAATAGTTTGAAGGGAGACTCACAAAAATGCCCCTTTTTTAATACCCCTTTTCAAAAATGCCCCCTTTGGATGTCCATTTTTAAAAATACCCCTTTTATATACAAAATGACTAAATTACCCTTCTTTTAATAAAAGATATCATAAATATATAAGGAAATATAACAAAATTAGGTCCACAAAATACAAAATATTTTTTGGCGGGAAAAGTGATCCCCAATTTTTCCCGCCAAAACACTTGTAAAAATTTGTAAAACCTTTAAAATACCTTGTAAAATTTTCCCGTAAAATTTTTTCCCGCCAAAAAATTTTCCCGCCAAAAATTTTTTTTTGCGGGAAAAGTGATTCCGCAATTTTTTTGGCGTTAAATTTTTGGCGGGAAAATTTTTCCCGCCAAAAATTTACAAGGTATTTTAAAGGTTTTTTACAAGGTATTTATAAGGTTTTATAATGTATTTTAAAAGGTTTTACAACGTATTTACAAGGTATTTATAAGATATTATAAGATTTTACAAGCTATTTTATAAGGTTTTTACAAGTTATAAGGTTTTACAAGTTTTTTATAAGGTTTTACAAGTTATAAATACCTTATAAAACCTTAAAAGTACATTGTAAAACCTTTTAAAATACATTGTAAAACCTTACAAAACACTTGTAAATACCTTGTAAAAAACCTTTAAAATACCTTGTAAATTTTTCCCGCCAAAAAAATTTCGCAAAAAAAATTGCGGAATCACTTTTCCCGCAAAAAAATTTTTTTGGCGGGAAAATTTTTTGGCGGGAAAAATTTTTACGGGAAAATTTTACAAGGTTTTTTAAAGGTTTTTATAAGTGTTTTGGCGGGAAAATTGCGGGATCACTTTTCCCGCCAAAAAATATTTTGTATTTTGTGGACATAATTTTGTTTCAAATAAGGGTAAAATAGTCATTAAAAATTAAAAGAGGGCAAACTTAAAAATGGACTCTCAATGGGGGCATTTTTGAAAAGGGGTATTGAAAAAGGGGCATTTTTAACAATTTCTCTAGTTTGAATTACACAAAACTATTCAACTATTTGCTACATTGTTTTCTAAATCTTTACTCTTATAACGGTATACTAGGATATGACCCGCGGTACACCGCGGGTTAATTATTTGATTTTTTTATTTTTATAAATTGATGAATTTATTGTGTATAATATTTTTTGTTGTATACCGCGGGTCACATGCGTTGTATCTAAAATAAAAAATTTTAAGTTGTATTTGTTTTGTTTAGTGTTTAAGATTGTATAATTGTATTTTGATTTGTTATTTATAGGATTTCACCTGTGGTATATTATCTCGTATTAATATTGACCCAAACCCGTCCAACCATATAATCTAAAATGAAATTAAACATCATTTTGTTATTTTTTTAATAACACTTTTATTTAAATGTCATATAATTCGAGTTAATTTGAAAGTTGCTTTCAAATAGTTTCCATGTATATTTTTAAATTAGTGTGTGTTTTTGGACCAACCCGTAAAAACAATTTATAATTGTATCTTAAAATACTAATTAGGATTTCACCCGTGATATACTGTCCCATTTTAGATCTATATTATTAATTGGGAAGCATTGGATAATAAATAACCTTATAAAGGGTAAAAAATTACAAAAAATGCCATTGGTTTTTAGTGTTTTTAAATAACTTCATTAAGGGTACAATAGTAATCAAAAAATTAATATATTTAAATAAAAAATAATTTAATTCTTTTAAATACTTATTAATTTCCAAAAAAAATAAACTAATTTTCTCTCTCTTATTAATTATAAACGAAAATTTGAAATTAATTTTTTAAAAATTGTTAACCAATAGGAATTGAAAAACTAAGATTTGATATCCAACTAAGATTTTTTCTAAACCAATCCTAATAGACTATTCTATATCAAAAATACAAATAAAAATAATATCATTTTAATTCAAAATTAAAAAAAACTATCATTTAAAAAGATTTATCAATGGAGGATTTTAAGATTGAATTTGAAATTTGGTAAAAAAATTAAATGCAAATATTTTAATATTCAGTTTTGTTATAATATTTTTATTACAAATTTTGAAATATAAAACGAAATTTTATTTCATAATTTCTAAAAAACCATATTAAATATTAACAAATATTTATTTTTACTATGAAATAAACTCAAATAATAATAAATTTTAAGTAATTATCATAATGGTTTTCGTTTAGAGCAATTTTTGAAAAAATCTAAACAATAGAATGTACATATTAATTTTGAAATATTTTGTGTTTTATTTTTTTCTTTTCAACTCAGATCTTCCTTAAATAAATCCATAATATATTGCACACAGTTTTTGAAATTATGTAAACTAATTATATATTTTGCATTCAACACAAATTATGCAGCAATAGCATATCCCTTTTATAGATGTATCTAAAACTTTTATTTTTAGTCCAAATATTGAACTAATTATGATTAAACAATGAAAAGAAGAATATGCAAAATTTAGCTAAGGAAAGAAACATTAATAAATTTGTTAAAATATTTGTAACTTTAACATCATACATATTAATCCGCAAAACTCACAGTATGTATTTTATGGTATTTTAAAGTAAGCAAACAAGAATTTGGAACATGGTTTTAATGGAATGAAATGAGAATAAGAATTACGAGACGGGATGGCAGGGGAACATAAATTAAAAATCAAACTTAATACTCAACTGTATGAGTTTGTGTTATGAGCACTATATAAAATAAATTTGTTTACACACATAACCTTATACGTACGTTTTTAGTTACAATTTATGACAGATACGGGACCGTAATATTTTTATTTCACGTATACGAGACGGGTTATGGGACGAAAAATTTATGACATATACAAGACGGGATAGGTTTCCTGTTCCAAAATAGTTACGCCTAGCTAATATACATGAAATAATCCAAACTAAACCGAATATGTATCCTATTTAACACATGTAATCAAACTGTTAGAAATGTCTTGAATAGTTTAGAAAATAAAAACGTAACATCACTTAACTTTTGCAACTAAATAATATCTTAATTTTATATTAAATACAATTTCACACTTACGTGTAGGTCCGAATCTTAAAATATAACTATGCACTAACGCAACTAAATTTCGTTCATTACTCTAACTTTATAATATCTATATTATTACAAAGTTCACTAACACAACAAAATATTTTATATTTTTAAAATCTATATAACAATTTCTAAAAAAAATATCTCTGCACGTACATGTGGATCTAGATCTAATACACTAAAATATACATCATAAAAACAATAAAATAATCTATATTGTATGAAAATTTGTAAGAAATGTTTTTGAAATATGAAACCCCGCACGTACGTGCGGGTCAGGATCTAGTAATTGTAAAAATTAAAGAAAGATCCGAATGACTCAATTTCGGGTCTGAATAAAATAACGACATGATTAAATGCTCAATTTGTTCTTAAAAATGTTAATATAGATTACACACATATTTTTATTCATCGATTGAGTAATATATGTCCGTTTTAAAAAATTTGAATTGTAACATATGCAGAAAAAAAAAAACTAAAATTTACTAACTATTTATATATTTTATAATAATTTAAAATAATATAAATATAAGATCAAATAAAAGTGAAATAAGAATCATATATAAAAAAAAAAAATGATGAAAATAAAATAAATAAGAAAATCTTCTCTCTGAAAAAGACGATCACTTAGGCGACTCTTTACAACTTCTCCGTTACACCATTGTTTCCGGCCGGCGTTGGCTTCTCCAGCGTCGGTCGGCTTTTCCCTTATGTTTAGATTTCTTTTTTTTTTTTTTTTTTTCTTCTCTTTGCGTAGATCTAGATGAATAAATTAGAAATCTGCAAATTCCAAATCCATGCCGATTGGGATGCAATGATGTCTCTCCCTCCGATCTTGTCACCAATTCAATCGCAAGGTTGGGTGGTGTTTCACAATACCCAGACCTTGTCGCTACACGTGGGAAGGGTGGATCCGAGAGCGGTTAGTTTTGTTTCGTTTCACAACCCATCAACGGGGTTGAAGTTTTCTATTCAATATTGCTTTATTTTTCTCTTCTTTCGGAAGAAGTTTGTTTCCGGTGGTCCTTATCACCGTCGTCATCTCCGGTTGTCAACCGATGAAGTTTCTCCTAATCTATGGTTTGGAGAAGTCATTTGGGTATTTGATCCGGGAATTAATAGACAAATCCTCCTGATTGAAGGAAGTGGCATTCACGATAATATCCTCTGGTCATGGATACTGTCTGATGATGGTGATGTCCATATTATCCCTCAATTGGATTACTCAGGTTTTATGGAAGAGCAAATCATGGTC